TTTTTTGGGTCTCTTCGGAGTCGCCTCAATGTCTTTCAGGTTGGTGTCAACCATAGTTGCGACGTCTAGCAAGTGGTTGGACGGAGAGTACAGCTCAATCGAGTGCGTCGTTGAGTTTCCCACCTTGGGAGTGGAGGGTCGTAGAGTGTCGTCCAGGTCCATGAGAAGCGCGACCATCGAGTCGGATTCGGGTATCCCGTCCATGTCAATGTTGATGGATTCGATCCAGACGGGCAGTGGAGCTTCCCATTCCATCGTGAAGGTCATGACGGGCTTGTGGAGTTGTCGTACAACTGAAGAGGAGACGAGGATGGAATGGCGCTACTGAAGCGAATTGCAAAGTGAGGAAAGTAGATGAATTGAGTGACGACGAACTGAGTGACCGACTGAGCTTTCGTTCGCATGATAGTAGGGCCGATGTCCTTCCGATGGATAGAAAGTCGGGCAGTAGGTGCATGTTAAAAACGGTGAAGTCCCTCTCTTGACAGAAAAAGGTGGTGGCAATTCGAAAGAGATCGCTTGACGGCCATCCAAAGTGCAGCGTTCCGTCGTTGTGGAATCTCTGCAGAGGCACGAATCAAGCGACAGGGACTGTTGCAGCGGGGTGTAGTCGATGATCGGTGGCGCTCAGCGAACCACGTCCAGAGGTCCACCTCTTGCTTCTCTCCTTTGGTGGTAGCTCAGATATGGACGTAAAACCACCATAGAGGAGGCAAAGAGACGACGTCTTCCACCGAATTCCTGCAGCCAGTTGACGAGCAACGAAGCGGTGTCAGAGAAAACACAGCATCAGGTGTCGAGTTTTCTCGCTCGACATGATTGTGGCTTGGTAGCTCCATGCACAGCATTTCTTCAATCTTGTTGTCCAATCGTCCGAGTCGCCTGTTTATGAGATCCCGCATTGTGGTGGCCATACGAGTATCCAAAGCACGCGGCGCTACGAACGCAAATGTGCAACGCTGGTAGCGTGGGATCCCGCAGAGGGATGACCCACTTCATGCCACTCTTGGTCCAAGCGATAGACTGAAACATAAAAGACGCGTACCCGTCTGCTTCAAAGGTTCGAAGCAGAAGTTTGCTTGAATCAGGTTCGTTGGGTAATAGGCTTCGTAATCTTTAGCTAGGGGCATGTATAAAGCCTTTCGCGAGAGCAGTGGGCCTTTAAGACTGATTGCGTACATTTCAAGACATGGTTCTTACCCTTGCCAAGTCTTCTTCTTTTTTGGGGCTAGGCAGTAACGGGAGGATGACGGACAGTCCAGCTTACGTAAATGTCTGTATGGCTCTTCAATTGCCTAAACACACACTTTCAGCAGAGATATCGAGGTGCAATTCCAAACGCATGCTCGCACTGAACACGCCGACCGACGAGTGCTCAAGCCATGTGCATTATAGGTCGCGATGGACGATCGAGATTGGTATAGAGGTGTCGTGGTGTCCCTCTTCACCTACAACCTCTCATCTGTTCGTGGCATTGTTGCCCGAGGTATTCATCACACACCAAGTCTACGGTGCACAGCCCATAGTGCCGCTCGGGATTCTCCAAGCTACACTCTGAGGATCCACACTTCTTTTTCCCACTCGATGAAGGAGAAGAGGGGAGAGTCAGTACAGAGTCACAGCTTTCTTCTCCGTCGTAGTGCCACTCACAAGTCTGCATCGCGTCCCTTCCCACGAAAATGACTCAAGAGTGGCTGTCAAGTCGTCGAGGGACTTGCCGACCAGAGTCGAGTTACTTGATGCAGTTGTGACAGCATCCATCCAGACTATCCACGGCGTCAAAAGTGTAGCCTATGAAAGCCTGTCTATTTTACCGTCTGACAAGAGTTGTCCAACTTCCACGTCTTCGCCGAAGTTTCTCAACTTCCGAGAAACTTCGACGAACATGTTGTCGAGAGGTCGAGGAGTTGTGTTGTCAGTCGTTGCATCGGCACCTTTAGTCAGCAATAGAAAGACTCCGTTGATTGTTTCGGGAAACGATCGTCCATCCATGACAACAGATGCTTGGCGAACGTCTTGCCTACACTCTAGAAAAGCATGAAAATGCAGTTGCAGAACAGTCTTCTGCTCTAAGGTTGGTTGCGTCCGTCGGCCAAGGCTTTTGCGATTAGTCTGAGCTGATCAAGGGCGTGAGCGGTAGGCCGCACAAGTGGCCGTGGCACGGCATGTCAGTAATGTCCTATATCGGCCTTGTCATCGTTCAGCTTCTTCTAGCCGACACAACGACCTGCCTTGTGCCAGTCTGCTCGGGGACCGCACTTGCAGAGCACGAGGAGCACACAGTTGGACAACGACAGCCACGGCCAGCTTACCTCATGCCTCGTCTGCGATATGTAATCAAAGTGGTTTGTTGCATCGGTGCCTTCCATCTAGACACGACTTTTGACTGGTAGCAAGTCGCGGACGCTTGGAAGTCCGTGTACAGACGAGTTGAGGTCTGTAAATCGGAGACATCTCAGCTTCAGTTGTTGTTGGACTGGCCAACGAACTCGACTGCAAAGAGTTATTGCTGAAACCATAAAAGGAAGTAAAAAATCGGTAGCACACCGAAGTGACGACGCATCAAGCGTGTCTAGGCAAGTTCGATCCGCTGGTGACTTGTCAGTCAGCAATCAAAAATCTTTAGCATGAACTGGTGGAGCGGGATTTGCGTTGCGTTGACGTGACTCGCTCATGCAGTGATTATCCTGTTCAACAGCTTTATGCTCTTGTGACCAGTCAGATAGTGGTAGTGATGTCACGTTGTCGTGGACACCGCTTCAAGTTTTGCCTCAGTCAACGTCAAGTTCATGCGTTTGCCAATCGTTTTGAAACAGCATTGATGTCGCCTGCTGTTAAGACCGCGTCAGTAATCACACCGGGTTCACGACCTGGCGTTCAGAATTGTCCACAGGATTTTCATTCACAACGGCTGAACGATAGGCTGCGCATGTCATGGTGACACGTCAACTCGTGCTACCGTGGAAGATGTGGCACCCCAAGCATCTAATATCCCATGCATCCTCGACATCAAAGACCGGCAAGTGTATCGATGGAACCAACTATTTGATGGCAATGGATCCGGTCCCCATCTACCACACATGGAATACGACAGAGGGCATCCATTTGATTGCCGACGCCGAAACGCGTTTGGCCATGTATCTACATCACCAAAAGTCAATAGGGCAGCGAATTCGTTCTGGGACGGCTGAATCGGCCAAATAGTAGGTATGACTACTGGCTGCATGTTGTATGCAAGAGGGTCGATTGATTCTTGCTCGGCACCGCACGATTCGGGATCTATGGTGACTTGCATTCGCAAATGCACTTCATCGCGCTGTTTTACGACATCCAGTGTAGCAAACTTGGTGACTATGCACGACTGCGACGCCACGCCTGTTCATTTTGGGATCAAAGACAGTTATTTCTTTGTAGCTGTTGCCAACAGCGATGTCGGTGGACAAGATGTACACTCAAGACCCTTTATTTACTGAAGCTATCGCCAATGAGACTACGCTGGACTCGGTGTCCGCTAAAGGTTCGATACTACCCAAAAGCTGAGCTAACACGTATCGCTCTATCGGCAGGCAATATGTAGTCCCCCGTATAGCTGCTTCAGTCAACGCTGCCTGATTCAGATGTATATACATTAGATCATCAGCATCTGCTGTTTGGCTGTAGATGTCTCCTGTACATCTTCCGAGATATCAAGGTGACGTTGGATGCAGCAACGCCTACAAATCTCAAGACATCGAATGAGGACAGCAATTGACGAGACCGCCCCATCACGTACAATTGACGACAACTTGACTGAAGTTGCACTCCCATGCAAGCAGATCTCCATGCACGGCGTGCGAGTCTCGATCACCCAATCAGATGAAGCCACGCTTTACAAATCTCGACACATCATAACATAGCAGCTACTGCTTGACGCCATCGTCCCATTAGCTGCGACCAAGCGGTGGCTGAAGCTCAAGTGTACCCAAGTGCAACGGTCGGTACACACTAGGCACGAGACCGAGTGATGTTCAGCGTCATTTCGAGGCAACATCCACCTTTCTTGCAAATAGCTTGTCTTGTTCCATTCTGAAGCGACAACAAATGAACACCGCTTTTACGCTTACTACCGCTTCGACCCTTCCATGCATCGGCTGTACTAAAGTAAAGGCATTATCAAAAAGAAGCGGTATTATCGGTGATTTCTCATCAAAGCATCCTAATCATCGTCCGTCACAGGAACGTGTGCACTTCTATTCAACGGTGCGCTTCTTTTTTAGATGTATACACAAAAGTGAATGAACACCGTTGTTTATCGTGTCATTTCATCACTAAAATCAAAATTGCAGAGCTAGAAAATCTTGAACCACCGTAGCATGAACGCCGGGCCGAGAGCCAAACCGAGTGGGCACGAAGTGAGATCGGTCATTAAATGTAAAGGTGCTTGTAACGGGGCACCCTCAAGCTTGTACTGATGACAGTACAAGCTACTTATTCTGACGACAGAATAAGGCGGTGCCGCTTAACCTCACGTACACTCGTACGTGCAGAGGAAGACGGTAAGGAGAAGCGAGTACTTGGTTAAAGTAAAAAGTAGAACTGTATTTAGCATAGTTAATGCCTGTCAATAAATCACTATTTATCTTCATCTAACTATGTCTAAATACAAATGTGCATATCAACTATCTGCTCACCACTCATTGCGTGCGTCTGTCGTGGCGCGTCTTCGTAGGTTGATGTAATGGCCTATATCAACCAATTAGGAACTACTCGTAAGTGCTACAGAATATTTGTCCTTATGACAATATTCTGAGAATATAACTCTTATAGTTATATTCTATTAGCAATTTCTTATAAATTGTTATGTAACGATTCACCCCGTTATATCACCCCCCCCCTTAACCATCAGTCACTTTAGTGACTGATTGACTAAATGGATACTCGTCCCAAATCATTTGGGACAGGGTTTGCACTTGTTGGTCCGCGTCCACTTTCCAACATCTCATCGCATGGTAAACAAGCCCATGCGATGCGCGAGCAAGGCCGCCGAGAGCGCGTCCGCACGTATCTGTGCGGACGCCGAGGCAGAAACCACAGCAACTGATGTCTCATCGGTTGCTGAAGCGACCCAGCCTGTGTCATCTGGTGATGCAGGCGCTCGTCATGAAGACACTCATGTCTTCACAGAGTACGAGCTCGGTGTCTCGTACTCTCCTGATACGGAAGACGGATCCGTATCGACGGCGATTGAATCTAAGCCGCCTGCCAAGCGTGGCATGGACGATGCTTTGCGTCGCAGCATCTTTGGTTCATCTGATGAATCAGATGAACCATCGCCGAAGCGAAGGCGCTCGAGGTCGCGAGACTCGGGCGCTAACAGTGGTGTCGGTTCTCCTATGGACACCACTTCACAGCGAGATGCCAGTACTTCTGTCGGCACGTCGCAGGAAGAGCGGGACCGCAATGTGTTGCGTCTCGCTCCCGAGAAGAAGGCATGGATGCCTCCAAAATCCGTCATGGATCACTTGTCGGCGACGACGAGTGATCGTTATCGAACACGATTGTTCGATTCGTCAAGGATCCATCACCTTGACCCCAGCGCGAAAGACTATCACACTGAACATGATATTCTTCATCGATGCTTAGACTTCAAATAAATAATTACAATTTGATAAAACGTTGGCTATTCCAAACAAACAGAGTCGATCTCTTTTCGATTGCATCGCTCCCTCTCTTTATCTCTCTTACCAGGAAAAGTCGAATGTGTGGCACCTCCGTAGACTCGGCAGCGTGTTGATCTTCTCCCGAATATCTCGCGTCTTGCTGTTGGCTCCTCCCCAAAACGTCAGGGCTTGAGTTTCGGCCCACCAGCAGTTGTCGAGCGCCATGACCTCTCTCAGGGCTCGTTCCTCCTGCAGTAACTCGAGATACCGCTGACGGATCGATGCAGTCACTTCCAAATTTGAGGTCTCGCTTGACCCTCCAACGATTACCGACGTCCGCTTTGCCAGCATTTCTCGTAGCTGGATCTCGAGTTGAACCCATTCGACTTGATCGTGGTCGCGTCTGCTTTTCTGTCGCTTGCGGTAGTTTGTCTCGTAGCCCCGCTGTTTGTTCTTGCGTCGCTGGTCGCGACCGAAAGGATCCACCTGACGAGTAGCTCTGGTGGTTGTTTTGTTCTTGACAGGGTTGAGAGTCGACATAGTCAGGTCTTTTTTGGGTCTCTTCGGAGTCGCCTCAATGTCTTTCAGGTTGGTATCGACCATCGTTGCGACGTCTAGCAAGCGGTCGGACGGGGAGTACTGCTCAATCGAGTGCGTCGTTGAGTTTTCCACCTTAGGAGTGGAGGGTAGTAAAGTGTCGTCCATGTCCATGAGAAGCGCGACCAATGAGTCGGATTCGGGTATCCCGTCCATGTCAATGTTGATGGATTCGATCCAGACGGGCAGTGGAGCTTCCCATTCCATCGTGAAGGTCATGACGGGCTTGTGGAGTTGTCGTACAACTGAAGAGGAGACGAGGATGGAATGGCACTGCTGAAGCGAATTGAAAAGTGAGGAAAGTAGATGAATTGAGTGACGACGAACTGAGTGACCGACTGAGCTTTCGTTCGCATGATAGTAGGGCCGATGTCCTTCCGATGGGTAGAAAGTCGGGCAGTAGGTGCATGTTAAAAACGGTGAAGTCCCTCTCTTGACAGAAAAAGGTGGTGGCAATTCGAAAGAGATCGCTTGACGGCCATCCAAAGTGCAGCGTTCCGTCGTTGTGGAATCTCTGCAGAGGCACGAATCAAGCGACAGGGACTGTTGCAGCGGGGTGTAGTCGATGATCGGTGGCGCTCAGCGAACCACGTCCAGAGGTCCACCTCTTGCTTCTCTCCTTTGGTGGTAGCTCAGATATGGACGTAAAACCACCATAGAGGAGGCAAAGAGACGACGTCTTCCACCGAATTCCTGCAGCCAGTTGACGAGCAAAGAAGCGGTGTCAGAGAAAACACAGCATCAGGTGTCGAGTTTTCTCGCTCGACATGATTGTGGCTTGGTAGCTCCATGCACAGCATTTCTTCAATCTTGTTGTCCAATCGCATGAGTCGCCTGTTTATGAGATCCCGCATTGTGGTGGCCATACGAGTATCCAAAGCACGCGGCGCTACGAACGCAAATGTGCAACGCTGGTAGCGTGGGATCCCGCAGAGGGATGACCCACTTCATGCCACTCTTGGTCCAAGCGATAGACTGAAACATAAAAGACGCGTACCCGTCTGCTTCAAAGGTTCGAAGCAGAAGTTTGCTTGAATCAGGTTCGTTGGGTAATAGGCTTCGTAATCTTTAGCTAGGGGCATGTATAAAGCCTTTCGCGAGAGCAGTGGGCCTTTAAGACTGATTGCGTACATTTCAAGACATGGTTCTTACCCTTGCCAAGTCTTCTTCTTTTTTGGGGCTAGGCAGTAACGGGAGGATGACGGACAGTCCAGCTTACGTAAATGTCTGTATGGCTCTTCAATTGCCTAAACACACACTTTCAGCAGAGATATCGAGGTGCAATTCCAAACGCATGCTCGCACTGAACACGCCGACCGACGAGTGCTCAAGCCATGTGCATTATAGGTCGCGATGGACGATCGAGATTGGTATAGAGGTGTCGTGGTGTCCCTCTTCACCTACAACCTCTCATCTGTTCGTGGCATTGTTGCCCGAGGTATTCATCACACACCAAGTCTACGGTGCACAGCCCATAGTGCCGCTCGGGATTCTCCAAGCTACACTCTGAGGATCCACACTTCTTTTTCCCACTCGATGAAGGAGAAGAGGGGAGAGTCAGTACAGAGTCACAGCTTTCTTCTCCGTCGTAGTGCCACTCACAAGTCTGCATCGCGTCCCTTCCCACGAAAATGACTCAAGAGTGGCTGTCAAGTCGTCGAGGGACTTGCCGACCAGAGTCGAGTTACTTGATGCAGTTGTGACAGCATCCATCCAGACTATCCACGGCGTCAAAAGTGTAGCCTATGAAAGCCTGTCTATTTTACCGTCTGACAAGAGTTGTCCAACTTCCACGTCTTCGCCGAAGTTTCTCAACTTCCGAGAAACTTCGACGAACATGTTGTCGAGAGGTCGAGGAGTTGTGTTGTCAGTCGTTGCATCGGCACCTTTAGTCAGCAATAGAAAGACTCCGTTGATTGTTTCGGGAAACGATCGTCCATCCATGACAACAGATGCTTGGCGAACGTCTTGCCTACACTCTAGAAAAGCATGAAAATGCAGTTGCAGAACAGTCTTCTGCTCTAAGGTCGGTTGCGTCCGTCGGCCAAGGCTTTTGCGATTAGTCTGAGCTGATCAAGGGCGTGAGCGGTAGGCCGCACAAGTGGCCGTGGCACGGCATGTCAGTAATGTCCTATATCGGCCTTGTCATCGTTCAGCTTCTTCTAGCCGACACAACGACCTGCCTTGTGCCAGTCTGCTCGGGGACCGCACTTGCAGAGCACGAGGAGCACACAGTTGGACAACGACAGCCACGGCCAGCTTACCTCATGCCTCGTCTGCGATATGTAATCAAAGTGGTTTGTTGCATCGGTGCCTTCCATCTAGACACGACTTTTGACTGGTAGCAAGTCGCGGACGCTTGGAAGTCCGTGTACAGACGAGTTGAGGTCTGTAAATCGGAGACATCTCAGCTTCAGTTGTTGTTGGACTGGCCAACGAACTCGACTGCAAAGAGTTATTGCTGAAACCATAAAAGGAAGTAAAAAATCGGTAGCACACCGAAGTGACGACGCATCAAGCGTGTCTAGGCAAGTTCGATCCGCTGGTGACTTGTCAGTCAGCAATCAAAAATCTTTAGCATGAACTGGTGGAGCGGGATTTGCGTTGCGTTGACGTGACTCGCTCATGCAGTGATTATCCTGTTCAACAGCTTTATGCTCTTGTGACCAGTCAGATAGTGGTAGTGATGTCACGTTGTCGTGGACACCGCTTCAAGTTTTGCCTCAGTCAACGTCAAGTTCATGCGTTTGCCAATCGTTTTGAAACAGCATTGATGTCGCCTGCTGTTAAGACCGCGTCAGTAATCACACCGGGTTCACGACCTGGCGTTCAGAATTGTCCACAGGATTTTCATTCACAACGGCTGAACGATAGGCTGCGCATGTCATGGTGACACGTCAACTCGTGCTACCGTGGAAGATGTGGCACCCCAAGCATCTAATATCCCATGCATCCTCGACATCAAAGACCGGCAAGTGTATCGATGGAACCAACTATTTGATGGCAATGGATCCGGTCCCCATCTACCACACATGGAATACGACAGAGGGCATCCATTTGATTGCCGACGCCGAAACGCGTTTGGCCATGTATCTACATCACCAAAAGTCAATAGGGCAGCGAATTCGTTCTGGGACGGCTGAATCGGCCAAATAGTAGGTATGACTACTGGCTGCATGTTGTATGCAAGAGGGTCGATTGATTCTTGCTCGGCACCGCACGATTCGGGATCTATGGTGACTTGCATTCGCAAATGCACTTCATCGCGCTGTTTTACGACATCCAGTGTAGCAAACTTGGTGACTATGCACGACTGCGACGCCACGCCTGTTCATTTTGGGATCAAAGACAGTTATTTCTTTGTAGCTGTTGCCAACAGCGATGTCGGTGGACAAGATGTACACTCAAGACCCTTTATTCACTGAAGCTATCGCCAATGAGACTACGCTGGACTCGGTGTCCGCTAAAGGTTCGATACTACCCAAAAGCTGAGCTAACACGTATCGCTCTATCGGCAGGCAATATGTAGTCCCCCGTATAGCTGCTTCAGTCAACGCTGCCTGATTCAGATGTATATACATTAGATCATCAGCATCTGCTGTTTGGCTGTAGATGTCTCCCTGTACATCTTCCGAGATATCAAGGTGACGTTGGATGCAGCAACGCCTACAAATCTCAAGACATCGAATGAGGACAGCAATTGACGAGACCGCCCCATCACGTACAATTGACGACAACTTGACTGAAGTTGCACTCCCATGCAAGCAGATCTCCATGCACGGCGTGCGAGTCTCGATCACCCAATCAGATGAAGCCACGCTTTACAAATCTCGACACATCATAACATAGCAGCTACTGCTTGACGCCATCGTCCCATTAGCTGCGACCAAGCGGTGGCTGAAGCTCAAGTGTACCCAAGTGCAACGGTCGGTACACACTAGGCACGAGACCGAGTGATGTTCAGCGTCATTTCGAGGCAACATCCACCTTTCGTGCAAATAGCTTGTCTTGTTCCATTCTGAAGCGACAACAAATGAACACCGCTTTTACGCTTACTACCGCTTCGACCCTTCCATGCATCGGCTGTACTAAAGTAAAGGCATTATCAAAAAGAAGCGGTATTATCGGTGATTTCTCATCAAAGCATCCTAATCATCGTCCGTCACAGGAACGTGTGCACTTCTATTCAACGGTGCGCTTCTTTTTTAGATGTATACACAAAAGTGAATGAACACCGTTGTTTATCGTGTCATTTCATCACTAAAATCAAAATTGCAGAGCTAGAAAATCTTGAACCACCGTAGCATGAACGCCGGGCCGAGAGCCAAACCGAGTGGGCACGAAGTGAGATCGGTCATTAAATGTAAAGGTGCTTGTAACGGGGCACCCTCAAGCTTGTACTGATGACAGTACAAGCTACTTATTCTGACGACAGAATAAGGCGGTGCCGCTTAACCTCACGTACACTCGTACGTGCAGAGGAAGACGGTAAGGAGAAGCGAGTACTTGGTTAAAGTAAAAAGTAGAACTGTATTTAGCATAGTTAATGCCTGTCAATAAATCACTATTTATCTTCATCTAACTATGTCTAAATACAAATGTGTAAATCAGTTATCCGCTCACCACTCATTGCGTGCGTCTGTCGTGGCGCGTCTTCGTTGGTTGATGTAATGGCCTATATCAACCAATTAGGAACTACTCGTAAGTGCTACAGAATATTTGTCCTTATGACAATATCCTGAGAATATAACTCTTATAGTTATATTCTATTAACAATTTCTCATAAATTGTTATGTAACGATTCACCCCGTTATATCACCCCCCCCCCTTAACCATCAGTCACTTTAGTGACTGATTGACTAAATGGATACTCGTCCCAAAAAATCATTTGGGACGGGGTTTGCACTTGTTGGTCCGAGTCCAATTTCAATCAATCTCATCGCATGGCTAACAAGCCCATGCGATGCGCGAGCAAGGCCGCCGAGAGCGCGTCCGCACGTATCTGTGCGGACGCCGAGGCAGAAACCACAGCAACTGATGTCTCATCGGTTGCTGAAGCGACCCAGCCTGTGTCATCTGGTGATGCAGGCGCTCGTCATGAAGACACTCATGTCTTCACAGAGTACGAGCTCGGTGTCTCGTACTCTCCTGATACGGAAGACGGATCCGTATCGACGGCGATTGAATCTAAGCCGCCTGCCAAGCGTGGCATGGACGATGCTTTGCGTCGCAGCATCTTTGGTTCATCTGATGAATCAGATGAACCATCGCCGAAGCGAAGGCGCTCGAGGTCGCGAGACTCGGGCGCTAACAGTGGTGTCGGTTCTCCTATGGACACCACTTCACAGCGAGATGCCAGTACTTCTGTCGGCACGTCGCAGGAAGAGCGGGACCGCAATGTGTTGCGTCTCGCTCCCGAGAAGAAGGCATGGATGCCTCCAAAATCCGTCATGGATCACTTGTCGGCGACGACGAGTGATCGTTATCGAACACGATTGTTCGATTCGTCAAGGATCCATCACCTTGACCCCAGCGCGAAAGACTATCACACTGAACATGATATTCTTCATCGATGCTTAGACTTCAAATAAATAATTACAATTTGATAAAACGTTGGCTATTCCAAACAAACAGAGTCGATCTCTTTTCGATTGCATCGCTCCCTCTCTTTATCTCTCTTACCAGGAAAAGTCGAATGTGTGGCACCTCCGTAGACTCGGCAGCGTGTTGATCTTCTCCCGAATATCTCGCGTCTTGCTGTTGGCTCCTCCCCAAAACGTCAGGGCTTGAGTTTCGGCCCACCAGCAGTTGTCGAGCGCCATGACCTCTCTCAGGGCTCGTTCCTCCTGCAGTAACTCGAGATACCGCTGACGGATCGATGCAGTCACTTCCAAATTTGAGGTCTCGCTTGACCCTCCAACGATTACCGACGTCCGCTTTGCCAGCATTTCTCGTAGCTGGATCTCGAGTTGAACCCATTCGACTTGATCGTGGTCGCGTCTGCTTTTCTGTCGCTTGCGGTAGTTTGTCTCGTAGCCCCGCTGTTTGTTCTTGCATCGCTGGTCGCGACCGAAAGGATCCACCTGACGAGTAGCTCTGGTGGTTGTTTTGTTCTTGACAGGGTTGAGAGTCGACATAGTCAGGTCTTTTTTGGGTCTCTTCGGAGTCGCCTCAATGTCTTTCAGGTTGGTATCGACCATCGTTGCGACGTCTAGCAAGCGGTCGGACGGGGAGTACTGCTCAATCGAGTGCGTCGTTGAGTTTTCCACCTTAGGAGTGGAGGGTAGTAAAGTGTCGTCCATGTCCATGAGAAGCGCGACCAATGAGTCGGATTCGGGTATCCCGTCCATGTCAATGTTGATGGATTCGATCCAGACGGGCAGTGGAGCTTCCCATTCCATCGTGAAGGTCATGACGGGCTTGTAGAGTTGTCGTACTACTGAGGAGGAGACGAGGATGGAATGGCGCTGCTGAAGCGAATTGCAAAGTGAGGAAATAGATGAACTGAGTGACGACCAACTGAGTGACCGACTGAGCTTTCGTTCGCTTGCTAGTAGGTCTGATGTCCTTCCGACGGACAGAAAGTCGGGCAGTAGGTGCATGTTAAAAACGGTGAAGTCCCTCTCTTGACAGAAAAAGGTGGTGGCAATTCGAAAGAGATCGCTTGACGGCCATCCGAAGTGCAGCGTGGCGTCGTTGTGGAATCTCTGCAGAGGCATGAATCAAGTGACGGGGACCGTTGCAGCGGAGTGTAGTCGATGATCGGTGGCGCTCAACCAACCACGTCCAGAGGTCCACCCCTTGGTTCTCTCCTTTGGTGGTAGCTTAGACATGGACGTAAGGCCGCAATGGAGGGGGGGCAAAGAGAAGACGTCGTCCACCGAACTCCTGCAGCTAGTTGACGAGCAACGAAGCGGTGTCAGAGAAAACACAGCATCAGGCGTTGAGTTCTCTCGCTTGACATGATTGTGGCTGGGTAGCTTCATGCACAGCATTTCTTCAATCTTGTTGTCCAATCGCATGAGTCGCCTGTTTATGAGATCCCGCATTTGGTGGCCATACGCGTGTCCGAGGGACGAGACCCAACGAGCGCTAAAGTGCCACGCTGGTAACGTGGGATCCCGCTGAGGAATGAACCACTTCATGCCACTCTTGGTCAAATTGATAACCTGAAATACAAAAACGTGTACCTGTCTGCTTTGCAGCTTCGCTGTAAAAGGTTGCGTGGATGCTCTTCTTCCCTATAGTTGGTGGTGTTTGTTACGTGACGTGTTTGTTTGCCGCGTTCTTTCATGCAGTACGTGGGTGGAAATGGCTCGGTAGCTTTTTATTGTGGAGACTAAAGCCATTTACTTCGTGTCAAGACTTCTCAATCTTAATTGACGAAACAATAGCGTCACATCAACCAACCACTGTCAGCGCACAGAGGAGAGATTGACTGGAAGAAACAGCAGCAATCCTCTCGCATTGGCACGCTTTAGTAGAACAGGACGACTTTTAGTTGATGAGGCAATCGATCTGACTGACAATAGTGCTTTCACCTTTTTGCTTGTGTAAATGTCTGGATGATCTCTTCGTTCACCCGACTACATACTTTCAGCAGAGTTGTAGAGCTGCAAGACCGAACGCACACTCATACTAAACACGTTAACATGCAATGTACTCGTGCCATGTGCATCTCATGTCGTGAAAAGGTAGACGAAGATGGGTAAATAGGTGCCGTGGTGTCCATTTACACCTACAACACCGGACCTGATCGTGACGTTGTTGCTCGGGTTATGTTGTAAATGATGAGTCTGCAGCGCGCCGCACATCTTGCCGCTTGAGATCTCAAGCCGCACCGAGGATCCATGTGTCACGTTCTGACTCGACGAAGAAGATGGGAATAAAGCAAGCACAGAGCCGCAGCTTTTTTCTCCGACGCGATGCCACACACAAGTCTATATCGTGCCTCTGAACACGAATCTCTCTCAAGAGTGGCTGTCAAGTCGTCGAGGGACTTGCCGACCAGTCTCGAATTTCGTTGATGCAGTTGTGACTGCATCCATCCGGACTTTCCACGGCGTCACAAGTGTAGCCTATGAAAGCCCGTCTATTCTACCGTCTGACAAGAGTTGTCCATCTTCCACGTCTTCGCCGAATTTTCTCAACTTCCGAGAAACTTCAGCGAACATGTTGTCGTGAGATCGAGGAGTTGTGTTGTCAGCCGTGACATTAGCATCAGCACCTTTAGTCAGCAATAGAAATACTCCGTTGATTGTTTCGGGAAACGGTCGTCCATCCGTGATGACAGATGCTTGGTCGGCGTCTTGCTTGGCCCAAGTTACGGTGAGCACCAACCCACAGACTACAGACGGTGAGATCGTCTGGCCCAGTATTTGTGATCAGGTCAAACACCATCAAATGTACTTTGCCTTTTCCAGACAGTTCTCAGTGCTGAATCATGACGTAGGACGTGTAAGTTGCACCTCAGTCGACGACTAGGTCTCGACATAGTGATGTTGAACGCTGCGTAGATGTTTCCTATTCTTTCAGCAACGCCACGCATCGTCGTATCGATCAGAATCTACTTGTCGTTCACAAGCTCGTTCATGGCAAGCGAAGTGGCAGTATCCATGACGTCGCAAGTACGTCTCAAGCAAACATGCTACTCATCTACACACCGATCACGTGTCCTTAAACGACGTCTACGGGATGTCCCATCCACAACAACAGCAACAAATCACCTATCTCGAAACGAAAAACAGCCTCTCGCATTATCAAAGAACCGGCTGCCCCCACCACGTCCACCTCAACAGCTCACATCTCCTCCTCCATCGTCTTCACCTCCACCACATCCACAACCTCCACCACCTCAGCTTCGGTCTCTTGCTGTTTCTTCTCCTCCTCCTCCCCCACCACCACGTCCTCGTCTTCTCTATCCACGTTGTCATCCTCATCTTCACGATGACGAAACCTCGGGTTCTCCTCCTCCTCCTGCTTCTTGTCCTCATCCCGAGGCGACTCCACTCGTCGTGGACGACTCGTCGGTGGTCCATCCACCGCCTCACTGTCCTTTCGAGGTCGCTTCACATGTGCCGAGCGACGGAAATGGTGGCCATCAGCGGTAGCATCGTCGCCCCGTCCATACCCTCCCCGCCCAGCATCATAGTCATCTTTGGATCGTCGATCGTCCCGTACTTGACCTCCTGACAGCCCTCGTCCAAACTGACGACCTTCTCGGAAGCCACCGTCCATTTCACAGCGAACCACACGATTGTCCAGTTTCGTTTCGCTCAGAAATTGGGCACAAGCTTCAGCCTCCGAATGGGTACTATACTCAACAAAGCAAAAGCCACAAGGCGTTTTCTTAAAGCGGTCGAGACCGACGATAACCCGCTTGACGTAACCCACTCGACTAAATAACTCGTAGAGCTGGGCTTCCGATGTGAAAAAGGACAGGTTGCCCACATACAAAGTACTCGACCGAGCCATGGCACTCTTTTGCTCCGTATAGGAAGAAAACGTCTTGCGGTCCCAGTACTGACGCTGGGACGACCCACGCGCGAGTCGCTGTTCCTCCTCTTCGATTTCCGCGTAAAGTTCGGCCATTATATAGTAGGGGGTGCTTCTTCCTGACCTGTTCCTCGCTCGAAGAAGGACGAGAAGCGGTGGGATCTGCCTGGTTAATGATTGGCTGGCAGGATGAGTACGAGTGTGAGGTGCGCTACCGTATGTCAGTACAACATGAAGGTCTAGGTTGTCGTGAGTTGGTTTGGGAGTGGAGTTTTCAGGTAGACCTAGAAGAGGACTGTGTTAGAGGTCCCAAATTGACTGGCTTGTTTTCTTCTATAAATTTATCGAGGCTTTTATGTAGGAAGGATTTAAAAAAAAGAACTTCACGTCGAGAGTCTCCATAGAATATGAGGATTTGATCACATTACGAGCTTATAGCGTATGCGTCCATACATACCGTACTCATTCGACAGGGAACACCGCACTCATGTCCCAATATCAGCACGAAGCAGATTTCTCTGTAATGCTAACGCCGCTGTTTCCGCATAACAAGCGGACCCGACAGCATTGCTGGTGCTGCTGAACTGAAAGAGGCTGCACACATGCAGCAAATGTGGCAACTATTCCATCGCGAGGGTTTTTGTTTTGTACAGAACGTTCACACTTTTGGTCTTGTGGTGAAAATGTATGTAGATATCTGTGCTAAACGGGCTAGCCGTGACACACTGAGCGCATCTCGTGTGTGCGAATGCTGTTGGCAGTTGAAAAGGGTAAACTAACCGATATTTGGGTTCTTGCAGCAAAGAGGATCCAACCAGGCGAAGTACTTTGACAATCAGAAAGTAACAGCTATATGTACGTCGTGGACTTGTCCGCCAACTTGATATAATCGGCTGCTAGCTCTTTTGTGCGCATCATGTTGAGCCTCGCATAGATGCATTCAAAAGGAAATACTCCTGCACTAAATGTGCTTGGTGAAGTAGTAGTGTATGCAGTAGTAATACTTGCTAATAGTAGTAGTAGTAGTAGTAGTAGTAGTAGTAGTAGTAGTAGTAGTAGTAGTAATGTTAGTTGGTGTAAAAGAGTGGTAGTAGTACTATTGTGTGCCTGCGTCGTTCGAGATAGTCATAAATCGCGACCTGCGGAGTGGGGTATTTGTAATAATCAAGCCAGTTTCTTGCAAATCGGACGTCAGAGTCGCACTTGTGCTGACCCTAGTAATTGTCGAAAAAGGGCCTTCCCAGGCTCGTCAACCGTTCTGCATGCTGTCAATACAACGTCACAAACTCTTGTCCTTCTTCCTCCATTTTCCGCTGCCTCGAAATGCGCTCTTCTGACAACAGAGAATGCTGGTGGTGCTTTTGTTTGCAATTAATTGGCCAACACGTATGACGAATATATTGATCTCGTGCACATCGATTTCAAAATGTATCAACTGTGTGCATGTCGTGTCTCTCTCTGTCTCTGATCTTTTTCTACGAGGGGAAAAAGGTTGTCGGACGTACTCACTTGACTTCAGATCCAGCAGTCGCACCTCCTTCAGTCAGTCTGGTTGATGTGCAAAGTATCAGATCTACGCAGGGCATTCCTCGCCCTCCGTGCCGTCCGCCGGAACATACCAGCAGTGCTTGGTCTCCACCCCACCAACAGTCGTCTCACCAAAACTCGAACCATACGCCCACGACGTGTCGGCCGTGTGGTACTCCACCTTGAGCCATTCCTCCGACGCCAAGACCGAGAAGAAGCCGTACTCGGCGCCTGAGAACGTCCAAATGTTTTCGATGTATTCAGCCGCGTACGTCGTGAGGGCACTGGCGGACTCCTTTTGCGTACCGCCACCAGCACCGTTTTCCATAAAATGGACACCAAGTAATTTCGAGAAATCGTGCTTCTCGCCGTGCGTGTGGCCGTACATCCACAGGTGAATCCCACTGCCCTCGAGAATGTCAAACCACTCCTTCATGCCGTCTTCATCGTAGTGCACACTCGGACTGTAGTGGCTGTTGACAATCTTCCACGTCGCCTTCGACGCTGCCGCCTTCTCTGCCAACTGCTTGCGCGAGTCATCACTCCACTCGGTAAACTTGGCAAAGCACGCGTCGTACATGTCATTGTCACCACCAGCACAATACTCGCTTCCTCGAGACACGCCTTTGCACTTCTTGTTGTCTCCCTCTGCATAGCCATAGCACTGGCAACACACCTGCATTGCAGCGTGGACATCGGCGTCTCCCGAGTCCACATTGAAAATGTCAATGCTCACACCCGACGCTTCGTCCTCAATCGAGTGGACGTAAAAATGGTCCTTGAGCACCCAGCGATCGTCGTTCGGACTCGTGTACTCCTGCTGCCACTTGAACTTGTCGTCCAGCGCAGCCACCACCTCGTCTGCGCTCTTGCACTTGACCTTGAACTCCCCGTCCGAGCAAATGTAACTCGCTCCACCATAGTCGTGGTTGCCCATGACGTTCAGAAAGGGAATGCCAGCCAAGTTCTTGCCCTTAAATTTGCCTTCAAATGTCGTGGCGAACCGCGAGTCACGTTCATTGGCGTTGTCGATGCCTGTCCAGTACAAACTGTCCCCGTGGCCGAGTACACAGCGAGGCTTAACACTAATAGCGCCCGCTTGAGTGTCCATGATGCTGGCCACGACATCTTCAGCCACGATGTCGTAGTTCGTGAACGTGTCGGAGCGACTGCAGCACGAGTCACCAGCGAGGGACATGCCCCAATCACCCACAGCCAGAAGAGACAAGCAATAGGTCGCTAAAATATAAAAAAAAAAAATAAAATAGACACAAACACACACCCAAAGCGAATTGATCACAATTTGGTCACCATTTGGTCAGAAATTGCACATAGCATACACGAAATAGACCTGTGATAGGAGCAGTCTTTATTTTTACTGTACCTTTTGTGGGGTCGGATGTCACAGTGGAGACCGTTGAATTAGCAACCCCCGACTTTGTCGAGTTGCTGGACCTCTTGCGAGGGGTCGAGCCGGAGGTGGTGCCGCCACTGCCGTCAGAAGTGGGCGAGTCACTTGGGGACGTCGAGTCCCCGGACGAAGTGGAGCTCGAGCTGGACGAAGTGGCGACGATCACGCCAATGATGGCGCCGATTACCGCACAAAGCACGACGACGCCAATGATGACGAGGCGTTTGTTGACTGCCATGGTGCTGTTTCCCAATGGAGCTTTGCTGGTCTCTACAAAGGTGTGTGAGGGAATTGGCTGCTAGTACGGGTGTCGACTATAGATAGCACTGCACTGTTGACTGATTAGTGGTGTCCACAACAGCCGCGGACTTTTGAAGACTGATGACTCTGACTGGCTCGTGGTTCCGGAGGAGGATGACCTGCGGACGGCGAAAAACCTCGGATGGGAAAACCCCTCGACCTGGGATAAAGTCTCGTCAGGTCTGATTTTTCATTCTTGCTGGTGGAATAATCCTCTAAGGAGGAATGAACAGTCGGCATAGAGTGTGGAGACGAAGCACGTGTCGATTCTTCTCTCACGGCATACTTGACACCGCTGAGATAGTTAGTCAGAGGGTCGTCAATCGTGACAGGCTCCTATCGAATGGGGAGAAAAAGCCTACGGGATCAGTAGTCTTAGATTGGCACCGAGACGGTTGCCCTTCCTGCTCAGCGGCTACTTTTACGAGATCATGGCGCGACATCGTCGACTATCAATTGCTACGACTGGATGCGGCATTAAATTGACATCAATGTGGACCATCGCGCGATCATGACGTAGGGTAGTCGTTGGAAAACGCCGAAAACGATCCTGTCGTTCAGTGGCGCCCTGTGGACCGTCCATTGGGCTGCAAGACGTTCGACACTAGAATGAAGAATGCAGTGCCGGTGTTAGCATTCTAATCTTTTACAAATTCGATTGTAGAGCACAGAATCTCTTGGCTAGTTCTCGACAAGTGTGTGGATGAATATTCGGTGGCGGATGGACAAGGTGCTGAACGCTCAGTAATGGCGATCTTCAACTATCTTGTTACTGATGACGATGCGAGCACGCAATGAGACCTATCGCTCAAAAGTGCTACAACACGAGAGGTAGCGATTAGCATTCAGTGCGGAGCAAGACATCTCGTAGACTAACGGCGTATCGACTACGACTGTTGATCACTGCTGCGCGCCAATGCATGGCCGGCATTTCATTGTTGGCTTATTTTACACTGAAGGGGCGATAGAAGCTCGGTGTGGTACGATCATTAGCTAACAAAGAGCGAGCCGCGCTTAACGACCAACGACAAGCGCTATGACCGCCAGCTTTTACACTGAAGCGTGTTTGCCATTTACTTAGCGTGAGCTGGAAAGTACCGCAGGAGTGTGCAATTGCAGCAGAACCGTGTTTGATAGTTCCGTTAAGTTTACCAAAGATGTAACGGGGTTACACAAATGGTAGTGATAAATAGGTGCACTGGTGTGGTACACTCAGAAAGAGATCAGTGGCACTGGTAATAGCGTTCTATTTTATCAAATACGACAAGCGGTTATACCGTACCCTATCGGTTATGGTTAGAGGATATCTATCGTAATAGGGTCTTCATAGGGGCGACGTAGTTCTGGTGAATATACTTGAAGAACTACGATGAGAAATATTCGATGAGGTAGCACAGTCTAAGGCTAAAGCTGTAAGTAAGATTTGGCACCGCTATAAATCAGTAAATAAATGCAGTGTTCCTTTCGATCCGTTTCAGATACGTGTCGTTCTGAGACGTCTTTGGTATTTAAAGTCAAGTGCCTGAGTTTAGGCTAAGTACTCTTGGGTATTAAAGCCACGTGATTCCTTGGAGTCGTAGTCCCCTAAGCTAGGACTAGAAGCTTAAGAGCTCGAACGTACAAATAGAGTCATGTATCATTAAGTCTGTAAGGATTAAGACTTTTTGAGTTAATACCCGCTCAGCTTGATATACTTAGAGACACTACAAGTCCAGAAGTGGCTTCTGTCGCCGAGCAACCCTTACTCCTTTCTATGACAGAGGAGCAAGGGTAGCTCGGCTACAAAAGCTACGTTGTACAAAGCCGGCAGTCGAGTAATTTATTGTTTAACTTCCCTTGTTTCACTGGCTAGAGCAATCGACCAATAGCGTCCTGGCAATTGAAAGTGTTCCCCCCCTCTCTCTGGGTGGTTCTCACGCTACCGGATCCCCTGCGGCGTCAGACGTTGTCTCCCCGCCCGTGTAACGGGGTAGCCCGTTACATGAAATTGATACCAAACGGTGTCAATAGGGAGATTGTCTAACGTGACAAAATTCTACCGATATTATCCGGGATGGATTATATTGAAGGACTATTATCCCCTTTGCATAATGATAATCATTCTCTACTCAAAGATTGGTTGATATAAGACATATCAACCAAGGTTACCAATCGCTGCTAGACGCGCGCAATGAGTGGTGAACAGGTTGTCGTCATACGACGGCGTACTTTAATATAGTTAGATAACGATCAAAGTTTTATTGATAGCTTAACTATATTTAATACACTTCTCTTTTTACCCTTTACTTGACCGAGTCTTTCAAGTAGATTAGCTTCCTCTGCACGTACTAGTGTACGTAAAGTTTCGCGGCACTCAAACAAAGGGTGCCCCGTTACACCTGGTAGCACTTTGTAGTCCGTCCAATATGAACATGTTGGACGTAGAAAACGACAGCTTTCACGTCACATGTGAAGGCCACTCCCATCTGAGTGACTCAGAATGGGAGGTAGTCGGCCGCGTGAGTGTGCTCATGGGCGAATCCGCCATCAGTGGCATGTTGAAGTCTCTGAGCAGAGACCAGCAACATGCTGCTATCAGCAAGTTCATACAAGGGGAACTTGCCGTCGAAAGACAGAAGATAGCCTTGCTACTACAGCGAGGCTCTCATCAGTCGATGGGCGGGCCGACGCACATGCGTCGACTCGAAATCTTGAAGACTGATATCTCAAGGTACAAGGGAACCGATGAATATTCACTTTTACTATGGTTCGTCGAGTTAGACGATGCCATCAGGGCCCGTCACATCGAGGGTGACGAGATGCAAGTCACCTTCGCCCTGTCAAATTTGACAGGACGAGCAAAGACTTGGGCCTTAGGGTTCAAGCTTCACGACCCAAACGTGTTTGAATCACTGGAGATATTAAATTCTCGACTTAAAGAGACGTTTGAGCTGCCGAGAGCCGAGTGCAGAGCACGCTCTGCACTCTTGAGGCTAAAGCAAGGTAAGCGTGACGTATACGCTTACGCACAGCACCTGCGCTACCTTGCGAGTAGCGTTACGGAAAACCCTGTTGATGAGCACACGCTCATCAACGTGTTCATCTACGGCCTTGTAGATGGACCGGTGAAGACCTACATGTTCCGAGAGGACTTCCATGCGCTGGAAAGGGCGATAGCGTATGCGGAACAAGAAGACGTCATTCTGAGACAGTCTCAGGCTAACTCGTCAAACTATCGTCCGAAGAGGCGACAGGAAACAGGAGGTCCCGAACCAATGGACCTCTGTTATATCGGGAGCGAGAACTCTTGCTCTCTGAGTCCCAAGCGAACGGCAAGATGCCATCGCTATCAGAAGGTTGGGCACCACGCTCATGAGTGTAGTGTCCCAAGCACCGCATCACGTCCAAAGAAAGGACATGAAGACCGCCATTGGCCGAAGAAAGGTCCAAGGCGCGGATCCGACCATGTCGCTAAACCGCGACAGCAAGTCGGACCACCAAAAAACGGTCAGGGTCAGTAGGGGCGGATCACCCTGCTGATCCAGCAACGTCAAGAGAATTTGCAGGACTCTTGACGAAGATTTTTTCTAACAAAAAGTCGCTGTGTGTTACTGCCCCTAGTGATGAGGTGTCCCTCATCACTTTGAAGATCGAAGTGACAAGTGGAATGTCACTTCGCACCCTAGTTGACTGTGGGGCGTCGAACTGTTTATCTGACACCAGTCGCTAAGGGATGGTAATCTCAACTATGTTGAGCGAGATTTCCCTCCAACGAAGATGGCGGTGTGCCTTGCTACAGGCGCATCCGTAACAGTGAACAAACGTGTAACGGGAATTCACTACACGCTAGAAGGAAAGCAGTACAATGATGACTTTATCGTATTGGATTTGGATGAAAAAATTGATGTCATTCTTGGTCTGCCATGGCTTAGAAAGTAACAGCCATGGATCAACTGGCAGCATCGATCCGCGAAGATTCCTGCCGTTTGTTCATCAGATGGCCATCTGATGAACGTCTTGGAGCGTCACAAGCGTGTGGATGTACTACGAGTGACTGCGATGGCCTCACTTGTGGTACGTTCTTTAGTATGAGTGCACAAAATCACAGTGTGGAAGGCAACTACAATGTGGAACAAGCTTCTGTCACCTGTGTAGAGACACAGGCTGCGCCGAAGCTTCACCACTCGAAGAGATCGAGTGGACTAGAACACGTATGCACATCAAGAAAGGTGCATCCAAGAAGAGAGATAAGTATTGTTCAGGATGAAGAACACGTTGAAGCGAGATCGACTATCAGAGAGTCGATCGTAGTGCTTACCGATCGACTGAAAGAGAGTCGATCGAAGAGGACGTGACTGTGGTAGTGCACCCACAGTCAGAACACGTACTGGAAGAAATCTCCAGCGTTCTTGAGAGTTATAACTCCCGAGAAAGTTATGTTGAGGGTGTGGATCTCTAACCACCTGCGGATGTGTTGTCCCAGGAAATCACCGAGGCAGTGAATTTCTTGGTGAATGACGGATCAATTGTAGGAGCTTATACACTTGATCTGGTGACGCCCCCGAAGTCAGATTCGGAGGTAGTCAAGTTGCCAACGCTAGAATCTAAAAGATTCTTGCGAGATCTGCGTAGTGACAAGATCAAGCAGATCTGCGTCCTCGCCACAGAGGACGAGTACGTCGTCGATATTCGTTCGGCACAATTATTTACTGAGAACGAACGGGTTATCAGTAGATCATCGATGTATGAGAGTGTCCTCGATGAGAAGACCCGGATTGGGCGATATATGTCTCAATCTTGGAACTCTTTGAAGGTAAATCCTTTGCATGAGGATTCGGTCATTTTCAGGGATGTTTCCCTGGATCCGTGCCATGCGAGCTGCCCAAGGACAAAGGGACTCGGTATGAGATTGAACTGGAACCTGGTTCGAAGTACTGTGTCATGAAGCAGTGGTCACTGCCTCGTGAACAAGTACTTGCGATCGGCAAGTTCTTTGCTGATCGATTAGCGGCTGGTCATGTGAGGGAATCAACATCCCCACACAGCTCTCCGACCTTCTGTGTGTGAAAGGCCACAGGAAGGTGGCGGATAGTGCACGCGTTCAACATATATTGAACGCTGCAACGGCACCGGCTCGAGCGCCGAACCCAAGGAAGGACGTCATCATTGATGGTATGGCAAAAAGTACCATCTTTTCTTCCCTGGATCTGACGGATGGATTCTATCAGATCCACAAGCGTGAACGGGACATCCCGTACACAGCAGTGAACACCCCCAGTGGTATGCTCTAGGAGTGGCTAGTGATGCCACAGGGGCTAAGTAACGCCCCCCGCAACGTTTAACAGAGGTGTTACGAATCTGTTGCGATCGGTGCGCCATTTTACACCGAGTTACTTCGACGATGTCTTCGTCCATGGCCGGGCTATGGATGGAAAGTCGGACGTGGAGGTTCACAGGTACCACGTCCGACAGGTTTTTACAATCATGCGAAAGCATCAATTGTATGCAAACCTCAAGAAGTGTATATTTGCAGCAAGCGAAATACCACTTCTTGGGTGCATCGTTGGTAAGAACGGTGTACGTCCTGATCCCGAAAAGATCAAGGCGATCACCGACTGGCCTGTGCCGGTTAATGTCAAAGGTCTTCGAAAATTCCTTGGGCTAGCGGCGTATTTGCATAAGTATTCACGCAATTACGCCGAGATGACTGTACATCTCTCTCGTCTACTAAAGAAAAACGAGAGGTGGTCATGGAGCGCTGAGTGTCAGCACTCCTTCGAAGGTTTCAAGAAAAGCTTGGTGCAATCGCCTGTGTTGGCGATTGCAGATCAGGATAGGCCATTTCATGTGGTCTGTGATGCCAGCGATTTTGAAATCGGCTGCGCGTTAATGCAGTACGACTCAGACGTCGTTAAGCGCGTGCTCTGTTATCAATCGCGTCAGCTGCAAGCAGCTGAGCGGAACTATCCGGTGCATGACAAGGAACTCCTTGCCATGAAATTTGCACTGGACAAGTTTCGGGTATATCTCCTAGGAGATAGGCCCTTCATCGTTTATACCGACCACGCGTCGTTACGTACGGCCGTAAACAGTCCACACCTCTCACAACGAATGGCGAGGTGGCTGTCATTGTTCGCGGAGTACAACTTCTCCGTCGAGTGTAAACCAGGACGACTTAATGTCGTCGCTGATGCTCATTCTCGTTGGCCCGATTTTAAGCCGACTGCTCAACACAAGAGTAGAGGTGATCCCACTATAGCGGCACTAACAGTGAGTGTTCCGTCGTCGAATCTGCTCGACGACTTGCGAAAAGCATACACAGAAGATGAGTCTCTTCCGCGGTTGATGAATTACGTATCCAATCCGTGTAATCAAGATTTGAAAAGCTTGTCGTCTCAATACCGCTCTTCAACCGAACGGTATTCGGTTCGTACGGGACTGCTGTACTATACAGCAGTAAACGGCGACACACCTCGTGTCGTCGTCCCGGCTCATAATGATTTGCGATTGCGCATCATGTATGAGTGTCACGATGCCCCAACAAGTGGACATCGCGGTAGAGAAAAGATTTACCTCACGGTAAGTTGTGACCTGTGCTGATCTCGCCAGTATGAGTTTGTGCGCAAATGCATTCACGCTTGCGAAGTTTGTCAACGAGTGAAGCCCAGTCCTTCATCCCGTGCACCCTTGCAAGCTCTACCGATTCCGGCATAGTGCTGGCAGTCCGTATTGATGGACTTCGTCTTTAGGTTTCCCAACACGCTCACGAGAATACTGGTATTCTTGTATTTGTTGATCGATTCGGCAAGATGGTACATCTTGTTGCTGTACCGGATTCCATCACAGCCAGATCTATGCTTGCGTCTTCATCGATACTATCTTCCGACTTCACGGGTTACCCTGTGAGCTCGTGTCTGATAGGGACCCCTGCTTCACCGCGGAGTTCTGACAATCCGTGCCCCGTTCACTTGGAAAACGTTTAAGACTGTCGACTTCTGACCATCCTGAAACAGATGGCCAGACGGAACGCGTCAACCGCGTCCTCGAAGAGATACGCGAGGGTATGTCCACTCATTTACGATCTGGAGTGAGTTCTTGCCGATGGCGGAATTCGCCATCAACAACTCGGTGCACGCGTCGACAACGCATGCACCTTTCTTCGTGAATGGCCTACACCACCCACTTTTAACCGCCTTCTTTGAGTGTGACTCTGGATTAAGGGGGGGGTGGAATCGCTCGAACAAAAAACGTTCTGGTTCTTGCTCATCACACGTCGACAATGGCGTCGACGTGATGTATGCCAATGTCGATCACGTCGACACCGATGATTATGATGACGACAATGCTGGTATATTCAGCATCGCCAATGACTGCCACAGTGAAAACGATGACGCCCCCACTGGTGAAGACAACATTCTTTCAGCAGTGCACACGAAGCGCACTGCTGTTGACAAGGATGAGTCGGCAGAGGAATTTCTGCTGACTCGCGAAGCGGTTGTCCGCTTCGTTCAAGACTCTATTGCAGATGCACTAGACCGACATAAAAGAAACGCATACAAACATGGGAGAGCGAATGTTCTTTTATTTGATGAAGGAGACTTTGTTTTACCGTCTACAGTAAACTTACTAACACACGCAGTGAAAAACGTGGGCAGCAGTAAATTACTGCCCAGGTACATCGGTCCATTTCGTGTGTTGCGCCGAATGGGCAACGCATACACGATTGAACTGCCCCGTAAGATGCGTACGCATCCTACGTTCTACGTCGGTCGTCTCCGCCCGTACTATCAGTACGAGCTAGTTTCGCGATGCGAAGAACATCTCCGCGGTCGAGAGCCGAGACCACCTTCGAGTGGTCCCGTTTCAACAGGCCAGTCTGGTCGACTAGCGAAGCGACCTGTTTACGCAGTTAAGTGATGTATCGACGAGCTACAGCCAGCTCGTCACGAAGAGAACGAGTCGAACGTTCGTTCTTAAGTTGCGCGAACGCAAAAGCGGCGCGATCGTTTGATGGATCGTTCATTGGGGAATTAAAATTATTCCTTACTAGATCCTCAAACCCATAACGCCGAGTCCGTTCGTGAGCCAGGTCATCTTGCAACTGTTCCGTTAGACGGTTCAGCTCTTGAACATCAACTTGATTCGACCCTCGAGCCGGATCAGGTGTTCCCACCGCCACTTCATCCTTTGGTGGACTCAAGCGGTGGTCAACGCTTCCTAGTGGAGCGTATTTTGAACCACCGCGATGTGAATGGCGTCCGGACGAGTTACCTCGTCCGCTGGCGTGGCTATCCACCGGCGTGGGACAGCTGGGAGCCTCGTGCCCAGCTGATTGTTGATGTCCTAGGTCTCGTCGAGCAGTACGACGAGACCCACCCGCTTTGTTTGAAGAAGGGCCGTCGGAAAACGACCTCCCCGAACACGAGTACAGGGATTGCAAGGTGTCAATCACTTCGGCCATCTCAGAAGAGGTGCGCGCCCTCCAGTAGGGAACGTTAGGGAGGTAGGCCTCCCTAGCGGCACGGTTTAAGTTGGTTAGGCAACCTGGACACAAATCACCCCACGAGAGACAGGGTGATCCTGCCTCTCTTGACAGTCGGTGCAACTTGTATTTAAACCGGCTGGGTTATGCTTTTCAAACCTGATGCGAGCTGCATCGGGTTTACCGAGCAAGGCCTCACGGCCAATGCGTTCGATGTTATGGATGAAGGCATTCCATCCTTGCATAAAAGTCTTACCGTCTCGACCACGGTTGCCATCGTACCACCGATGCTTGAAAAACGCATCGGTGAAGAACTCTTCCTCAGCACGGATTGCTTCCGTGCTATAATTAGGTGGAAAGATCCTTTTACAGTCGAACAACGGGAATCGATCCCAACCGGTAATCATGCCGGCCAACCGGTCCAACTCGCTGGATGACGGCGTCCAAATGAGACTCCACTTGAGGAGCGTGGCGCAGGACATTTTGGTCCCTTGCCTCTTGAGGGGTGTCCGCACGAGAACTGACACCAGTGGCAGCTCGATCTCTCGAGTTGCTTCTCTCGTGGTGACGCAAAGGGGCATCACCACCAATACACGTATCCTATCGTCGGAGAGACCTGCGTGAGGCGAGGATTCGTCAGAAGAATCGCTCGATTGGAAGGTCTCAGACATGATGCCGCCATATTCCCCCGAGTCAGTCAACCTGGCTCTTGTAGTGTCCGCCCCGGATGATCCGGAGGCATGAGGTTTCGCCCTCGAGTCGGATGCATCATCCGACTCGCCGGATTAGATGAGCTCGATTTCAGGCTCATCTACATTGCGATTGCAGCACCTGCTGCAGACGCAGCGGATGTATCTGTCGCACGTGGCGACTCACCACGTGGACTGATAGCAACAGGCAACGCCTCTTGCTAAATCGCAACATCAGGCGAAGCATAACCTTCTGCTGAAGCAATAGAAGAATGCAATTTGGCTGCACGCATGCGTGCAACCGCCTTTCTTACTGCTTCGGCAGAAAATCGCATGGAATTTGATACCATGCGATGAATTGGCAAATGAGTTGAAATCTGACTAATAAGTGCTCCCCTTCCCAGAGTGATCCAACGGTGGTCACCCTGTCCTAATCAGTTAAGTTCAATCAACGGGTGATTGATGGTTAAGGGGGGTGATGTAACGGAGTAGCCCGTTACATGATATTGACACCAAACGGTGTCAATAGGGAGATTGTATAGTGTGACAATTTCCTACCAATACTATCCGAGATGGATAAAATTGAAGGACTATTATCCCCTTTGCATGATAATATTCATTCTCTACTCAAAGAGTGGTTGATAAAGTCATATTAACCACCAATCGCTGCTAGACGTGCGTTATGAGTGGTGAGCAGGTTGTCGTTTTACGACAATGTAGGTTATTATAGTTAGATAAAGACTGAAATTATGTTAATAGCTTAACTATGTTAAATACACTTCTCTCTTTACCCTTCACTCAACATAGTTGTTGAGTAGATTAGCTTCCTCTGCACGTACTAGTGTACATGAAGTTTCGTGGCACTCCAAACAAAGGGTGCCCCGTTACACAAGTTGTATCCCATTTTCGCAGTTATTCATAACGTGGATAACACTAGTAAACACAAAAAAATTAAGTACAAAGCGGAAAGTAGTAAAAAAATAGGTTGGAAATACAACTATCCTGCAAGATGACGTAAATGTATACCTAGGCGTGCACTATGCACATGGCAAGACAAACTTTAGTACGAAATGTGACTTCAAGCTACATTTTGATCATTTGTGTACTGTCGAAAATAGTGAACAAGCACACAAATAGACAAATATCGATCTTTGCTGTAACAAGGCGCGTCTCGGCAGCTTTCTACTGAGCACCAAATTTTATTCAACGCTTGACGTCAGCGTTCATCTTGACGTCAAATGCCAAACGCCGAAACGTGAAGGAACTGCTCGGACTATGTTTGACGAATGCCGAAACGTGAAGCAACTACTCGGACAATGTTTTTTAGCTATCTTTTGCGTCCTGATGCGTAAATTACGTAATGTATAAAGTATTGCATTTGTCAGGTTGGTATGCCACCCTAGCCATCGGTTTTCGAGTCGAGTCAGGTAACAAGGACAGATCGAACATTGCTTCTCGCAATTTGCATCGACAACTACCTGCCAATTTACCGATAAATGTGTTTGTTCTAGTCACAAAGCATAATTTATTATAAGTGAAATGATCAATCGATGCTACTTGCCCACATGCAGTATGCAATTCGACGAGAAATGCGCGGGTGGTCTTCAAGGTGAAAGCTGCTGATGTAACGGGGCACCCTGAAGCTTGTACTGGTGACAGTACAAGCTACTTATTCTGATGACAGAATAAGGCGGTGCCTCGAAACTTCACGTACACTCGTACGTGCAGAGGAAGACGGTAAGAAGAAGCGAGTACTTGGTTAAAGTAAAAAGTAGAACTGTATTTATCATAGTTAATGTCTGCAATAAATCACTATTTATCTTCATCTAACTATGTCTGAATACAAATGTGCATATCAACTATCTGCTCACCACTTATTGCGTGCGTCTGTCGTGGCGCGTCTTCGTTGGTTGATATAATGGCCTATATCAACCAATTAGAACTACTCGTAAGTGCTGCAGAATATTTGTTCTTATGACAATATTCTGTGAATATAACTCTTACAGTTATATTCTATTAACAATTTCTTATAAATTGTTATGTAACGATTCACCCCGTTACATCACCCTCCCCCTTAACCATCAGTCACTTTAGTGACTGATTGACTGAATGGATACTCGTCCCAAATTATTTGGGACAGGCTTTGCACTTGTTGGTCCGAGTCCACTTTCCAACATTTCATTGCATGGTTAACAAGCCCATGCGATGCGCGAGCAAGGCCGCCGAGAGCGCGTCCGCACGTATCTGTGCGGACGCCTGAGCAGAAACCACAGCAACTGATGTCTCATCGGTTGCTGAAGCGACTCAGCCTGTGTCACTTGGTGATGCAGGCGCTGGTCATGAAGACACTCATGTCTTCACAGAGTATGAGCTCGGTGTCTCATACTCTCCTGATACGGAAGACGGATCCGTATCGACGGCGATTGAATCTAAGCCGCCTGCCAAGCGTGGCATGGATGATGCTATGCGTCGCAGCATCTTTGGTTCATCTGATTCATCAGATGAACCATCGCCGAAGCGAAGGCGCTCGAGGTCGCAAGACTCGGGCGCTCACAGTGGTGTCGGTTCTCCTATGAACACCACTTTGCAACGAGGTGCCAGTACTTCTGTCGGCACATCGCAGGAAGAGCGGGATCGCAATGTCTTGCGTCTCTCTCCCGAGAAGAAGGCATGGATGCCTCCTAAATCTGTCATGGATCACTTGTCGGCGACGACGAGTGATCGTTATCGAACACGGTTGTTCGATTCGTCAAGGATCCATCACCTTGACCCCAGCGCGAAGAACTATCACGCTGAGAATGAATTCTTCATCGATGCTTTCTTCAGACATCGATGGTACAGTGGGAATCACAAACGTGATGGTCCCTCACTACTTCAGGCGTGGAACGCCTACATCCATAATCTCGAGGATGTAGGTCGTGACGCTTGGAACGACAAACTTATCAAAGCTCGTAATAAGTTTGAAAAGCGAACCCCGACAGGTGCACGCTACAAGCTGCATCGTCTGTCAAGGGAGAAAGGATTACCCTGCCTCTCTTGGGGAGACTCGTGCCCATGTTGTGTGAACAACTCTGCACGAGCACCTAAGGAGGCTTACCTCCTTACCAGCCCGTGGTGGCGCGTACGTGTCTCTACTGAGATGTACGAAGGGATTGACAACCTGAAATCCCTTTACGACCGTGCCGGGAAGACTTTCTCCGGCGGTCCTTCTGCGGCACAGGATGTGTCGCGTCGTACTGCTCGACCAGACCCAGTACGTCAACCATCAATTGGGAGCGGGGCTCCCAAGAATCCCAGGACGGGGGATAGCCGCGCCACCGGACGAGGTAACTCGTCCGACGTCCGTTCACGTCGCGGTGGTTCAACAGCTGCTCTACTAGATAGCGCTGGCCACCGCGAGAGTCCTCTAATGGAGGTGGAGGAGGAGGAAAGACGCTCTCCACACGATCATGTGGATCGGTGTGTTCCCGAGAGCTTCTTTGATCGCGTAACGCAAGGGTTACGCGACGATCTCGAGCATGAGCGGAATAGGCGTCTCCAGATGGTGGACACTGCCTCGAAGCATCGAGCTGAGTTTGCCTTTGCTCAGCTTGAGAACGAGAGATCTCTGACATCTCTTCGTGACGAGCTAAGGGTAGCTCGTGGGATTGTTGATCGGTCTCGGGCTAAGATAGCTGCTCTTCAGACCCTTGTTGATGCCCACCATCGGGAGCACAAGGCTCTCTGCGAGATGCTTGAGCGCAAGGGCGTTCTTCATCGGAAGAAGCAGCGTACTGATGGTACGGCTTAAGCCGACCAACGTAAAACGTGGGATGCGTTCGCATCTTACGTGGTAACTCGATCGTGTATGCATTGCCTAGGCGGTGCAATACACGAAATGGGCCAATGTACTTGGGTAGTAGTTTACTGCTACCCAAGTAAGTCACTACATGCTCTGGTAGATTAACCGTAGACAGTAGGACTAAGTCACCTTTATTAAATGAAAGAGTGTTTGCCCTTCCATTCTTGTCAGCGTTTTGCTTTTGCTTATCCACCGCTTCGGCGATGGAGTCTTGCACAAAACGGACTACCGTTTCACGAGCCAGTATGAACTCATCTGATGACTCGTTAGCTTCAGTGCGCTGTGAGCGCACTGCAGCAACATCAACCTTTTCTTCAGTGAGGGCTTCCGCACTCTCACTGGCATCATCTTCTTCGATATCGATGTTATCGATATCGGCATCAAACGCAATGACCTCTTTGTCAGAGCGTGATGAGCGTGAACCAAATCGGTTTTTGCTCGCGCGAGTCTCTCCCCCCCTTAAACCGGAGTTACACTCTAGTAAGGTGGGTACACGCGGATGGCGTAAGCCATTCACGTAAAACGGTGTATGTGTCGTGGACGCATGCGCCGAGTTGTTAATGTCAAACTCTACCATTGGCAAGAACTCACTCCAACTCTTACAGGAGTGTACGTATCCTCGAAGTATCTCTCCAAGGACACGATTGGCACGTTCCGTCTGACCATCTGACTCTGGATGATCAGATGTCGACATCTTCAAGCGCGTTCCGAGTGATTTGAGCACGGAACGCCAGAAAGCAGAAGTGAATCGTGGATCTCTGTCTGATACGAGTTCACGGGGCAACCCATGAAGTCGGAAGATGGTGTCGATAAAGACACAAGCACAGCCACTTGCCGTGATTGTCTCTGGTACAGCCACAAGGTGTACCATTTTGCTGAATCCGTCAACAAATACGAGAATACCCGTATCCCCGCGTGCGTCTTTGGGTAACCCGAAGACGAAATCCATTGAGATGGATTCCCAGCACTCAGCCGGAACCGGTAGAGGCTGTAAAGATGCACGCAGTGAAGGACTTGACTTCACTCGTTGACATACTTCGCATGCGCGAACATACTTTCGCACAAACTGATACTGGCGGGGCCAGTAAAAGTCTCGACTCACCGTGAGATAAGTTTTCTCCCGGCCACGATGTCCTCCTGTAGGAGCATCGTGATACTCGAACATGATCCGCAAACGCAGATCAGTATAATCTGGAATGACAACACGTGGTGTGTCACCAGAAACGGCTGTATAATACAGTAACCCGTTGCGAGTAGTGTATCGATCTGATGCAGATCGATAAGCAGACGACAATCGTCTCAACGATTTTCGAGATGGTTGTGAGAGATGTGTCAACAACTTCACAATCTCACCATCTTGGGCGTATGCCCGCCTCACATCATCATACAACGTTGTAGATGGGACTGAGGATGTCATAACCGCAACAGTGACTGCCTCACTGTTGGGTTTCACGACTGGTTCAAAGTCGGGACGACGTGAGAGTGCATCAGCGACGACATTAAGTCGTCCTGGTTTGTACTCTACCGTAAAGTTGTATTCTGCAAAGAATGACAACCACCGCGCCATTCGTTGTGAAAGGTGCGGGCTGTTCACTGCCGTGCGTAATGACGCATGGTCAGTGTAAACAATGAAGGGTCTATCTCCTAATAGATAGACTCTGAACTTCGCGAGTGCAACTTCATGGCAAGGAGTTTCTTGTCATGCACCGGATAGTTCCGCTCAGCTGGTTGCAGCTGACGCGACTGATAGCAGACGACGCGTTCAACGCCTTTAAGATCGTACTGCATTAATGCACAACCGATTGCAAAATCGCTGGCATCACAGACCACATGAAATGGCCTGTCCTGATCGGCTATTGCTAGGACTGGGGATTGTATCAAGCTCTGCTTGATACCCTCAAAGGAGCGTTGACATTCAGCGTTCCATAACCACCTCTCGTTCTTTTTCAACAAACGAGAGAGGTGCACAGTCATCTCGGCGTAATTGCGTGAATACTTATGCAAATACGCCGCTAGCCCAAGGAATTTTCGAAGACCTTTGACATCAACCGGCACAGGCCAGTCGGTGATCGCCTTGATCTTTTCGGGATCAGGACGTACACCGTTCTTACCAACGATGCACCCAAGAAGTGGTATTTCGCTTGCTGCAAATATACACTTCTTGAGGTTAGCATACAATTGATGCTTTCGCATGATTGTAAGAACTTGTCGGACGTGGTACCTGTGAACCTCAACGTCCGACTTTCCATCCATAGCTCGACTATGGATGAATACGTCATCGAAATAACTCGGCGCGAATTCTCGTACTGGTCTCAACAGATGTGTATCACATCTGTTGAACGTGGCAGGGGCATTACTAAGCCCTTGTGGCATTACTAGCCATTCCCAGAGCATGCCGCTAGGCGTGCTAACTGCGGTATAGGGTATATCCCGTTCTCGTATAAGGATTTGATAGAAGCCATCCATCAAATCCATGGACGAAAAGATGGTACTCTTTGACATACCATCAATGATTACGTCCTTCCTCGGTATCGGCGTCTGAGCCGGTACCGTTGCAGCATTCAAATTGTTAAATGCATGCACTATCCGCCACCCTCCTGTTGCTTTTCGCACACAGAAGGTCGGAGAGCTATGTGGGGAAGTTGATTCCCTCACATGGCCCGCTGCTAAACGATCGGCAAAGAACTTGTCGATCGCAAGTACTTGTTCACGAGGCAGTGGCCACTGCTTCATGACACAGTACTTCGAGCCTGGCTTAAGCTCGACTTCGTGTCGAAAACCTTTATCCTTCGGTAATTCGCACAGAACAGTTTCAGGGAATACATCCTTGAATTCAACCAAATCTTCATAAAGAAAATTTATCTTGAGCAATTCCCACGATTGGGAGTCATATCGCTCAATTCGTGTCTTTTCATCTAGGACGCTCTCGTCCATCGATGAACTACTGAGAACTCTCTCGTTCTCAGTAAACACTGTTGCTGACCTTATGTCGGCTACGCACTCGTCGTCAGCGACGAGTATGCAGATCTGCTTGACTTTGCCACTACGCAGATCACGCAAGAATCTTTTATGTTCGAGCGTTGGCAACTGAGTGATCTCCGAAGTTAACTTCGGAGGCGCAATCAGATCAAGTGTATAAGCGCCTACACATGATCCGTCATTGACTAGGACATTCAATGTCTCTGTCATTTCCTGGGGACTTATTCCCTCAGGCTTCGAAGGACTTATTCCTTCGTTTTCCCGGGGACTTATTCCCGCGGGTTTCGGGGAACTTATTTCCGCCGTATTTGTAATATCGGAACTTATTCCCTTAACTTCCTCTAGCTGCGGTTGCGCAACCACAGCGAGATCCTCTACGAAAGACTCTCCAGTCGATCTAGGATTATCGTTTCGGATTATCGTTTCGCTTAATCCTAGATCGACTGGAGAGTCTTTCGTAGAGGATCTCGCTGTGGTTGCGCAACCGCAGCTAGAGGAAGTTAAGGGAATAAGTTCATTTTGAATGAACTTGGCGATAGTAGCATGTTGGGCATCTCTATTGAGAGCCTCTAGCGTGACGCTAACAGCATGGATACCCATGGTTGAACCCATCCGTTCAACCGCATCCCATTCAACCTCGCTCAAATGGGAGTAGCCGTCACGCGTAGCGTGAAAGCTTTGGTCATCTTTATCATCCAACATATTCATGTTAGATGTGAACGTGGTCCTTGGACAGACTACGAAGTGCTACCAGGTGTAACGGGGCACCCTGAAGCTTGTACTGGTGACAGTACAAGCTACTTATTCTGATGACAGAATAAGGCGGTGCCTCGTAACTTCACGTACACTCGTACGTGCAGAGGAAGACGGTAAGAAGAAGCGAGTACTTGGTTAAAGTAAAAAGTAGAACTGTATTTATCATAGTTAATGTCTGCAATAAATCACTATTTATCGTCATCTAACTATGTCTAAATACAAATGTGCATATCAACTATCTGCTCACCACTTATTGCGTGCGTCTGTCGTGGCGCGTCTTCGTTGGTTGATATAATGGCCTATATCAACCAATTAGAACTACTCGTAAGTGCTGCAGAATATTTGTTCTTATGACAATATTCTGTGAATATAACTCTTACAGTTATATTCTATTAACAATTTCTTATAAATTGTTATGTAACGATTCACCCCGTTACAGCTGAGGGGCGCCTTGTCATTAGCAAAATCGATACCTGCACTTCGTATGCCTGCTCAAAATTCGACAAACACAGAGATTAACTTTTGGCTCTAAGTCACATTCAGTACTAACATCTGTCTTGCCATACGTACAGTATGCGTCTCGTTCAAATAATTATTCTCGTCATCTGGTAAACATTATTTTTCACTGTAAGTTTTTTCATTAGTCCTTGTACTATTTATTTTCTATTCGGCACTGCTTTGGGACTGGTTTGTAAGAAGATTGCATCGATCCAGTACGGGCAATGAGATTTGCTCTTTTTAACCTCCATCCGTACGTCCAGCAAGCAAGTTTTCGTTCTGATCAGGTCTTCTTGCATGTATTGCGCGTGTTCTAATCTACTCATGAACTCCCGACCTTACGCTACAAACCTACTTATGGAGAAACGACAGCTCTAGAAAAGCTTTTCGGAGTTTCTCCATTGCAGTGCATTCAAGAAATACACCCACATCGATCCCTTCGCCACCGCGTTGGGCCTCTGTGACCATCACAAAGCCATCGTAGCATGGCAGTCGTGGCACGCAAGCATACCATGGATGGATACCATTGAACTCTGCATTGTACATACCCATGTGCAGCCACGACGCGAACATGAGGTCGGAACCAAAGAAGAAGTCAGTGCCAACTTTCACTGCAGACAAGTTGCTCTGCTCGGTCAAAAAGCTGATCGCATCGTTCAGATACGTGGTATCACGTTGCAAGATGGATTCGCGCACGCGTCGAGCAAGCATTCCTAGCGTGTTGGGCGAAACCTCAGCTGCGTTATCGTCACTAGACTGTAATTCACTGGCGCTGTACACTGACAGTGCGTTGAAGATAACGTTTCCGACATAGTTTGCAGGTAGAGGTGGATCGAGACGTTGTCGCGCGTTGAGGCCAGTCGTGATTCGCACGTCTTTTCCGTGACCGCGAGCTCGCGATATGAGCACCGTAAACAGTGCAGTAATGGCATCAACCGTGCTCACGTATGTAGCTCTAGTGACCTCATCCTGGGCCAGACCGTTGCAAGTAGCCACTTCTTTGATCTTCTTCATCATAGACGGAGTGAAATGGAACAAGTGATGAGCTGTGGGTGGTAATGGTGAAGCTGGATCGAGGTGATCCCTTTTCTCTTGAGCTTCCGTAGATTCTATCTCGACGACTCGGAACTCCGGATGCAGCATTGTCGATGGCTTTCCCGTCCCCATCAGCAAGTGCCGATCATGATTTACCACTAACCTATTGCTCTTCTCCACGCCATTGTAGTGTTGACCCCATACCGTCATGAGCGTGAACATTGCCTCGCCGTCAAACAGCATGTGGCTGGCATCCACTCCGATTGCCAACCCTCCATCAGCCAGCAGCGTCCCTTTGGCACAAATGAGTTCCGTTTTTCCCCTTGTCATTGGCATGAAGTCCCAAGATTTCTCCTGTATCGCCTGCTCTGTTGTCATGGAAGTTGACAACTTCGTTTCGAATCGAGGTTCCGTGGCAGTATAAGATTGTCGCCTTGAGGCGGATTGTTTGACGCATACGACCCCCGTCTTTGAATCGACAGCGAGTTCGCCCATGAGAATAGGGTAGTCATGTTCGATTAGGGTGACAAAGGACGAGTGCAATGTTCCAAGGTTGTATGGTAAAGAAGTAGGAGGAGGGTAGATGTAGAGGATCACAAACCCGAAGGTATTCATTACAGCGTCCATAGGCGACAACGGCCACGTGACGTCGTCTGGAGCCAAACTCATATTGATGCAGTAATTAAACCGGGTGTGGGCCGCGAGGGTACTTGAATTGTGCTGGATATGCATTATCTACATTGTATCTGGGAAAGAGGTGGTTGTATCGATGCCAGAGATAACGTTGCGCTCTTGTTCCGTGCGGCTTTAGGCACTATTTGTTCGGGACCGGACGAACGGTTTGCACTATCGTGTATATGCAACATACAAAGAATCGAAGAATCTTAAGCGTATGGAAAATGCACAGTTTTCGCATCCTGCTTAACTCGAAACGATGAACATCTACCAGCGTTCGCGTCATGAAAAGGGGCATATCGATAGCGCAGTATGTCCGTTCCAAGTCATATGTATGTACCGTAACGCACGGTGTACACGGTGAGGTCCCCAGTTCATAGAGTCACCAGTAGCTTATACCTGACTTCATGCTGTATCACGGAATACTATCGGTCGACTTCAAAGCTAGCGTCTGCGTGGTTTGCAAGGCCTCAAGCCGACCACCCCTCCAGTCTTACACTTTTGCACAGTTATGGCATTGTGCACTGTTGATGAGCTAAAACAACAATATCACGAAGATGGCGAGCCCAAACACCAAGTACGATCTCACTGTGCACCTACTTACAATATGCTGCAACTACAAAGACACGTCAACGAGTTCGTGCACCAATTCATCCCCTCGATCTAAGCGCATGTACCTGCGCGCACTACGATCTACGATTACGCAACTGCTTCTTTTGCATTCAAGTGCCAGTATTCCAGTATGCCTTTTAAATGAGTCGGTAGTGCACCGCTTGTCGATGATCGGCTGCGGGATCCTTTGCTCAGGTGCCAGAGCAAAGGATCCCGCAGCTGATCATCGACAAGCGGTGCACTACCGTCTGTGCAGAATACGTAGACGGTCGTGAGCTGATCGACGACCCCATATCTTCAGCGACAATACAAACAGCAGGTAAGCATCGACGTTTTAAGCTGCGTGGGTAAAGTACTCACCCAGCGCTTTTACAAACTTCCGTGGCGTTGAACGGGATCAACGCCACGGATCCGTCGCGTGCAACACCGGACAAGAGCGCATGTTGAACGTTGCATGTCCAAAGCGAGCGCAGCTGTGGACGAGTCTAGATGTGAATGTAAAGTCTCAGTTTCTTGAGAGTAATGTCAGACAGCCACATAAGGTTCGACATTGTTGAAAATGCATCGGAATAGGACATCGCAACGTGTGACGTTAATGGTCGTATGCTGAACAGCATATGGAAAGCATTTTCATTCTGTCGTTTCGTCATGCTAACTAAAACGACTGCTCCTGACGGCCTTAAACTCTGTCCTGAATGGACAAGATGTCCGCAACAGTCTTATTCCTTCCTTAGCTCGATATCTTTATGGTGAACGCTATCAAAATACCGTCAACTCCGATACCACTGAGACGGTTAACGACCATCTAAAAGCCCAGACGACGTTCTGTTTGACTGAATTAGCATCCTGCATGAATCATCGACGCCCAACAAAGGAACGGCATGCACCACAGCCCTTACTCGTGATCTCCCTGAACTTCACCATCTCGACGTTCTAAATCTTCTTCATCCCCACCGCATCGTCTTTCGACCCGTTTCCGTCGCTCGTTCTCCCTCATCTCGGCCGTCAAACCCTGTACTTGATGCCCTTTTGCCAACGTCTCCGTGCGATCGACGAAATCCTCGAAATTCAGTCCCGGGTATAAATCATACGCCCATTGTTTGTACATCTTTATGAGCGAAGCTAAAGCCGGAGCTTCGCGACCCGAGACGGTCGAACTGACTTGGTAAGGGAACGTCCGGTAGACCTTCTTGAACCCTTCCGCAGAGAGCAAGTGCGACTCCCGTAGCAGATTTCGACGACGTTTTTTGCTTATAGCAGACGATGCGACATCTTCTTTGCCCTCTTCAGCCTCGATGATGCCATCAACTGGAGCTATTGCGTCGTCAGCGTCGTCCTGTCGAGCGAAATCGTCGTCGCGTTCCCATGTTCGACCCGCCATACTGTTACGCTATTCCAGTACAAAAGACTGGTTCGTATTCAGGTGTGGCGCACACACACACACACAGATCGAGAAAGACGGCTGAAGTAGCGCGTGCAGCCATCTGAAGCCACGACCTTTCAGCAGATCGATAACAAGCGGCTGTCCCTATCTAGACAATTAATGCACCCAGGTTCAAACTAGTGAACTGCACGTGAGCACTTTCCACTGCGTCTCTCGTGAGTTCATTCACTCATTCACTCAGTCAAGCAAAACGTCGTCAGCATTCCGCGAGCTTTTTTCCGATGAACACCTCGGCTCTGATTCTAGCAGTAGCTATTGCAACGTCAACTTTCGTCGTGGGTAAGGACTGCACAGTGGATGATCTCACTGCGATCTCGAACGTCTATAGTACCGCCTCGGATGAATCTTGTCCCGACATGACCAAAATGACTGGAGGTACCGACTATTGCACGTACGCCGACTGTCTCACGTTCATGACTGACATGGTCGAGAAGCTGCCCGATTGCTCGACTGGCGGCATTAACGTCAAGGAGAGCGTCCGAGCTGCTTTGACAGTCTGCGAGACTGGAACGGCCGACGTTTCGAAAGTCTTTGCAAACTCCTCGTCGACCGCGACGTCGGGCTCGAACGATGCAGCGACTTTACCTTCTGCGGGCTCATTTTCGAGCGACAAGGCTTCGGGCGATTCAACTGCGTCCGACGCTTCGTCATTGTCGTTGTCGTCGTTTTCGTTCGCTGTTTCTAGCGCTTCTTTTGCGGTGGTCCTGTTTGCTGGACTATAGGTACCTAGTGTAAGCTGCTGGATGCGCGAGATGACGTCGCGATTCCATTGATACAGCTGCAGTTTCTTAGGAAACGATAACCGTCATAATCGAACTTTTATCGTTTGCTGTTGTCGCTGGTGGCTCGTGTTCTGTAAGAGGACCCCGACAAAGTTAGTAGATACCTAGCGTTTCTCGATACATGGGTGGTGACGCAGATCGCGTCTTTTTGGCGTCTTCTAATAGCAGTGATCTTGGTTTGAATCTTCGGTTACATTGTTCGTTTCATGGAAGCCCAGCGAATGGTCGGAGACTCTACCACGACGAGTCGCAGCGTCGACTTTCCTCTCATTGCAACGCATGTTCTGCGTCATGACACCTCGTCTGATCATGATAGATCCTTATCTGCTTGTGTATTGTCAGGAAGGTGCACCGCACGCAGCTTGTAAAGTACAATTTAGCGAATTGTGGTGAAGGAAGTCAACCGAAATCACAATCAGAGAAGTAGCAGCATTTCAAGGTGAGACGTATCTCTCAGGTTGCTCTGCCTGTCCTCAGCTCGACCTGGCTTGCATGTTTAGTAGAACTGAGCTCAAAGGTCGCAATGGGTGGCGAGTTACAAACGTCTATTGCAAGCTACGACAGCAACACGGCTAAACTGTTTCGGACTCGCTGATGCGTCTTTAGCCACTGCAAAAGCTGCCGGTCTTCTCAAGCTAATTCTTACATTTGCAGGCTGCAGGGCGTAGCAAAGCATCCCAAATGTCATAAATAGGTGATGAAGTGATACGTATCAACATGTCACACACAGTCAGTTGATCAGCCAGCCTCGAAATTGCCGTACATTTCCTAGTGATGTTTGGCGGTTGTCCAAGTCTGCTTGGGACAATGCCATAGCCTGCTTTAAAAGAATTAAAAGGTTACATTTTAATACAAATAAATGTAATTTTAAATATGTAACTTTTTTATTTTGTTTCATATTTTTTATATCACCACTAGACCGTTAAATTGTCAATGGTCAACGTGCCATAATCTACAATCTTTCACGATGGTCATTGCATTTTGAAATGTTGCGTCGAGATACTTCCGATCACGCTTGAACGGCCTTAGAACACATAGAAAGAGTTGCTCTTGGCAGTATCTTTTAGTGAGAGCATTCGCGCAATACAAAATATCCGAAATCTACAAATGTAGAGAACTATCACAATGCTATCCGACTGCTTCGTCAGTGATAATGGAGACACCTCCTTCAGCTATAACTTGCACTATCACTCATTGCTCTCATACGTGTCGTCCCGAAAAATGCTTTGCACGAAAATCAACCAAATTCTTTCCGTTCGAGCGACCGAGTCTAGCAGCGGCTAGCTCGCGTAAGCGACGACAATGCCGATCAAAAACACAGTCCAAAGATGCAGCTGTGCGTCGAAAGATGGAGCGGCGCTGCTTTCGCTCGTCCGACTGCTTCCAGTTGCAGAATTCGACGATTCCAACGTCTCATCGTCGGACGGATTTCCGCGATTGGAGGACGTTGATCCCGACGCATCAAATTCCGACACTGCCATTGAACCAGATGAGGATGCACGCATCATGCTGCTGTCAGCAATAATTGCAACGCTGACGAACTTAGAAGCCCCATTGCACCCCGCAGTGAGCTGGCTCCGCACGTCCTCTCTCTTATTCACCGATTCGTTGTCATAGTAGCAATTCGGGAGTTTGTTCGCCAATGTTTCGACACTTCGAGCGCAGTCGGAACCGCACGGTGCCAAGATCTCGACTCCATATCCACCAGTGGTAGAGGCCTCAATGCACTCGTTGCTTGTCGCGGTAAATACGAACAGGTTCCACGTTTTCTTTACTTCTGCCATCGAGCAGCTCACAGTAGATCCCTCAAAAGCCATCGTCTGCCCCGACGATGAAGCGCTCGAAGAAGACCCCACCGTGGCCGTTGTCAGGTCGGATGACGAAGCGCTCGAACGGGACATCACGTCTGTATTTGTGTTCGACACATCTCGAGTAGAGGATCCTGATGCGTCAGTGGCCAGTGCTGCCAATGATCCCGAACCTGATGGGCCAGTATTCGGTGACGGTGAGACTGCACTCAACGAACCAGCATTCAGTGAGCCTGCACTCAGTGAGTCTGCACTCAATGAGTCTGGATCCAATGAGTCTGCATTCAACGAGCCTCCGTTCAATAGGTCCGATCTCAATGAGCCCGCACTCATTAATTCGGCACTTTTGAAATAGACGGCATTGCAAGCTGCGAGTGCACGCTGCACATCATTCTTGTTGTTAATGCCGTTGAACGTGCAGTTAGGCAGATCAACGACCATGACCTCCACGAGAGAGATACAGTCGGTAGCCAAACAAGGTGCGTTGATGTAGATGGGTTCGCTCTGCGTCACGTAGGGTGCACATGCCGATGTGATGGCAGTTGTTTCCCATACGGATTTAGCAGTGGCAGTCTCAGCGTCAGTGCATTCCGCTGCTTCACTGACCGAGAACGTCAAGCGTAGCGGTAGTAGAAAAACCGCGAGAACTCGAACCATGATGAAGTGTGCGACAAAGACTGGAGCTTGACTAGCGTTGTTTGACAATGACGTTCTCAATCGCACAAGCTCAACTACCTAACCTAGCAAATGAAAAGGTACCGTTGACGGGGAAAGAGTCTCCCATTATCGATGAAACGTGCTTCCAGTGATGAGCACGACGATGTTGTAGATCATTTTGGTACGACAACCGCGTGTCGACGGAAGTTCTTCCGCACAATCGCATGGGTAAGCCTGACCCATTATCGGTGTCGTTGAGAAATGGCTTCTTACCCATCATACTTCAAAGTTGACTGCAGTGATGAAGTCATTGGATGTCATGCAGCGAGCGACATTTGAAGCCATCATCAGCCAGCAGTTAGCGAGATCGCTCCCAGGTGCCAATCGGATTACACATTACCACCGTGCAACAATATAACAGTGTCAAATGACGATGAAACAGCATTATAATCGACTCTATGGAATACAAAAACGTGTAATGCAGCCGACTGGTGTCAGACATCGAGTTAAAGTACCACAACGTTGTTTTTATTGCATTGCTCAAGACAAAAAGATAACCCTTCGCACAACTGCGTCTACACATCCTCGTCAAAGCAGGTTTGCCGCTTATGCAGCTCTGAGCTTATAACGGCTTTACAGCTTACAACAGCTTAATAGCTGTAGACGGCTTCACAGCTTCCCACAAAGCCCCGGAGCTCATGAAAGTGCTGCGACAAAGTAGATGACCATGAAAAGCTGCGCGATAATGGCGCTGGTGGCCAAAACGTCCCTCGAGGCTGCCGAAACGACGGGATCGTTGCCAGGACCGCTGCCCGAGGCCGATCTGTCGGTCACTTCAGTCACATCGGCACAATAGTCCACGATCGACTGCAACGCGGTCTTGCGTTCAGCCCCATCTTCGCCCGTGCAGGCTGGTAGTCCCTCAATAGCCGTACTGAGCTCCGAAATGCAGTCGTTCTGCATACAGTAGTCGAGCGACGAGACGCCTGAGTCCGCCATGAGGTCGGAGCAGGCAGTGCCGTTGGCCAGAGCGGCGTAGACGCTATCGATAGTCGACTGTTCGTCCTCGGTGCAGTTGCTGGCGCTGACGGCGGTGCATTGCAGCGCCGTGAGGGCCACACAGGACGCGGCAAAGGTGCGCAGAAGCGTCATTTTGTAGCGACAAGAAGGAGGATTCGAAATGGGCGGCCAGAGGATCGTTGGCTTGTGTCGAGTCAGACACGGCAGTCAGCAGAGGCGGCCTGAATTTTCGCGCAACTCACTCGATAGCCTCTTTTACATACACGTGTCTGTGTGCGTTTGTACCACTGGTAGAATCTGAGGGTAATGACGCGATTGAAAAAAGGCGGGCTTGAAGCTGGGGATCGCACACGCATAGAACGGCACCACGCGTCCTCGTTGACTGGATGTTTGTATGCATTACGGAAGGCTGTCGCATGCTGTGTGGTGCCGCGCTTCCCGCCGACTTATTTCCGTGAGAAATGATACTGATCGGGTAATGGAATTTGTGTGAGCGGATAAAATTGGGCGGACGACATGCTTACTCGACGACTTCGACGAGATCTTGTGAGCTCGCTCTTCCTGTTCGCTTATCGTGTTTCTAAGATTTGTACAGCTTAGATTCTGCAAATACATGATCCGGATAATCCCAAGACTCGAGAGCAGCAAGTGTCAAGTGCTCGATGCAAATATCCGATCGAGCGATTAGGCTGAATATGTTCGACTTTATGCTGCAGCGAAACCTGTGAGAATAGATAGAGCGCATGGTCGAAGTGTCGTCTGATTCTTATCCTCCGATGCGACACTCCTGATTCAGCCCGCGAGCCAGTTCGAGCCGTTTCTAACCTCCTGGACCTCCGGACCACCAGGTCGACTGACTGATCGTAAACTGAAGGATACATCTGCATCCACTGACGTGTGACAAATTGCTGCCTTGTTACGAGTCAGTGGATGCAAATGCATGGCGTAAGATGAAGCAAGCTCTGAAGCACACCTTAGTCACTTATGTTGACACATTTCGATGGTCGCTTGTAAACCGAGTCCAGACGGAGCGTTGTGCAAGTGTCCACTCACTGCGTTAAGTGCCGCGTATATAGCTCAGAAGTTATGGCCGGTACTAGACGGACGAGTCGTCGCGGTAAAAGCGCCTCGCTCAATCTTTTGCCGTCACCTAAGATCAGGCGGGCAACGAAATACCTCTCGATCGCACTTACACGAAGGTGCGTAGCGCAGTAATCTTGGCGCCTTGCAACCGTTTAGCAGCTGATGATACCCTTAGTTTCGCCCCCAATGTCAGGGTGACGCTATGATGATGCAAAGTAGAGCTGGAAAGACGGTGTTACAGGCTGCTAGCAGCACAAAGTCCTCTCAGTCTTTTTATTAGACTGGAACTAAGACACCACGCCACAAAAATCTACAAACTGATCCGTCGTCTCTTCGATGTCGTCCTTTCTGGCTCGTGCTCAAGTCACTGGTACTACTTCGTTGGTGCTTCCGTATAGGCTCGTGGCGTCCACAGAAACAAGGTACAAACTTGCACGTCGGTATCGGGAGCATTGTCAAGTGGCATGCATTGACATAGCGTCTCATCCGAAGTTGCATGCTGGATAAGTAAGCACTAAGTCCGACCACCTCATTTAATCCATAAACACGTAGTGCAACTCGTTTTGATTACGCTTGTCGATGTATCCGTTTCCAGCACAACGACACCGCTGAGGTCTTCCACTCAAACCTTCCATCGCTGCATCACTTCTTATGCACGCTGATGGTCCACCAGCATAAGACTAGCAAAGAAAGTCATCACCATCTTGGGCTTCACCTCCACGATATCCTCGTACGTCAAGAAAACAGTCGCACCAATCTTTTGAGCACAACTAATGGCATACTTGGCGTTGCTCGCCTTGGAGTCGTCCGTTAACTCCTGCGAAACCAGGTCCCAATTCACGGCGCGAGGCTCGACCACATGCACCAAGTCAAGCAAGTAAACACCGTCAGATAGACTGGGGTCCCGGAACGACACGATGTTGCCCTTCGCCCGTCCACTCTGCCGGACCTTCTCGTTCGCCCAACTGATGATATCCTTGTCAGTGATTTCGCCACGACCCGCTGCGAGCGCACCCAACATTTTCAATTGCTGATACCGCATGCTCTGCCACACAATCGACAAGATCATCTTCTTCGCACCCTCAAAGATGTCGGCACCGCCCACGTTCACCAACGAAAACTTCAGCTGTTTGCCCAGCACAACGCAGTAGTTGCAGTTCTCCACCTGCTTAAACTTGTTGGGTGCAACCATGTTGACCCGGTTCCAGGCCACGATTCCCTTTTGGATCTTGTCCAGTACTTTGAGCAGTTTCATGCCGTCACTCAAGTCCGAGTACAAATGGTTCACGTACACGTCATCAATCGCGAGCGAGTTGATCCACATTCGAAATACGCGCTCTTCACGCGTGTCGCCAACGTCATCGTACAAAATCTCTTCCAGCTGCTTGATCTCCTCTTCAACAACATCCAACGCCGGACAAGTATTGAAAAGCTGTGCCACGAACGACATGTTCAGCTTCGGATTACCGCTGGTGATATCGCGAGGTTTGATAAACGTCTCCACTTCCAACCGACGCGCATTCTGAATCACATGCGCCGCGCGTTCCTCTGGAATGGACTCCTTGCACAAGTCGCAATGTTGCGGCGCAATATGGTGAAGCAAAACACTGTAAGCAGTCGCGTCCTGCATGTCCGTGCTAAAGTTCGTCACCTTCTTCGGGTGGCCAGCTGCTTTCAAGTGGTAGTTCATCCACCGCAGCAAAATCAGATCAGGAGGAAGCTTCATGAATGCTTCCAGCGTCTCACCATCCAGCAGAAGCCGCATCAGCTCAGGGTGGTTTTTCAGATTGATCGTCGACGTCAGCTGAATTTTGATGATCTGCCATACCAATCCGAGCACAAGGATATGCTTGCCTTCGATCAAATCATCAGGGCCAATGTTCACGACGCTGCAACCAATGCTCTTAGCCGCGTTGATGCACAAGTTCTGGTTCTCGGTTTTCTGATACACGTTCAGCTCCTTTGCCGGCTTTACAAAGTTCAGAGCGCGTTCATCAATCGTCTCAGGCACAGCCTTGTTAATAAGCTTGCACAATACCACGCCGTCGCACACGGCGCTAAAGAGACCAGCATCCACGCTAATAGGCATGATCGACGCAACGTCCTTGTCCGCCTGTAAGGTGTTGTTGATGTGCTCTGTAAAAGCGACAGTCTCTTCCTCCGAGTACGAGTGCACACCACCAGCAGTGCCTTTCACCTCGTGAATCGTCGAGTTGTACTGCGCAGCAGCACTTGCGCGTCGCTGCAACACATTCAGCGTGTGTACATCCACGCTTTTACTGAACTGCTGATCCTTTGGAGTAGTGACTGGCGTCACTTGCCTCATAGGCGAGCAAGGAGGGGTGCGAGGTGCCAGTCCTCCAGGCGGTGGCGTAGGAGGCCACTGAGCACGCTCGGGTGTCTCTACAGCACTCGCATCTCCTCCAGTCGATGTTGACGGCTTTGCTTTCCACGATTCTGCTCTTCCATTGCCTGGAGCAGATACCGGTGGCCACCGAGGCGAATTGCCGCCTGCTGGTGGCCACTGCGACTTCACCGGACTCTTTTGATCACCACCAACAGGAGGCCATTTCGAAACAGTGGCAATTGTTGATGGCGGCTTCACCACCGTCGAGTCATTAGCTCCTGCAGGGGGCCACTGCGGCTTTGACTGCGGTAAAACTGCAGCAGAAGGTCCGATTTGTGAAGCGCTAGAAGGCGTGTAGCCCCACGTTGCAGCTGGACCGCTGCCATTGGACCGGTCCCGTTCAGCAGCAGTACCAAGTGGCCACTGCGATGAACTTTGGACTGGAGTCGTCACATAAGTCGTGTCGGTATTTTTACCAGGAGGCCAAAGCGTCTTTTGCTTGAATGGAGACTGTACCTCAGACGTTTGGTTAGGCTGCCATGGTACCGTCTTATGATTGGCTGAACATCTACCATCTGTCTTGTCAGCAAGTGGAGACTTGGCAATAGTTCCACCAGCTGGTCCCAGAGAAATTCCAGCAACTTGGTCAGCCAGGGGAATCGTTCCGGCAACTTTAGAATCCTCGAGCAACATAGGGTCCAACACAATCGCTCCATTGCGAAAATCGTGCAAAAGGTCGAGAAACTCCTGAAACGTGACTTGATCGGGTCGGGTTCGCTTAAGTTGCTGCAACAGCACCGTCGTCTGGGCGGGCGTCACGTTCTCGCCCAGTTGAAGCAGCACCGTGTGCAGCGCCGTCACGGGCACAGCTGCCGCGTAGTCGTGGTCGTGCTCTTTGAACACGCGCTTGAGCTCGTGGATCTCTTTGGGCGAGAACTTCTGCAGGAAGCCGGATGAGACCTGGTAGCTCATGACGGAGGACGGAGCTGTTGCTTACGTTTGGTAATGGAGAAGGAGAATGGGAAGGAAGGAAGGACGTTGATCGGAAGTGGAGGCTGCTTAAGTTGCTGCACTGTCGTTCGACGCTTTGTTGCTGCTGCAAAGAACTGGAAGCGAACGGGTTTGGCGGGGATGACGCCTTGGAGCAACTTGGGTTGTCTCAACTGGTAGTTGTTGGTTTTTTTTGGCTCTGAGCGCAATAATTGGGTGTTTGGAATCGAGGTTTTGAGCCACATTATCGCATTTGAGGAAGTCAACATCGCAAAGTGTTGGTTTTGACAAATGTTATGCTCTTTGTTTTCGGGAATACCGGTTTGGGCTGGAATAGCGCGAGTGTTGCTCGGTTCCAGTTTACGACCACTGGCGTGAAGGTGGGGGGAATGTATTTTACAGCGGTGACCGTCGATTGCCCTATTTTAAATGGAGCAGGAAACAGCTGACAAATAGATTGCCGATAGATTGTGATGTCCACTGAGCCATTTTGTGGGCTACCGGATCTGATCGAACAAGATGACAAACATGCAGGGTAACTACTCGTGTCGCTCTTAGCGGTCGCGATGGGAGCTTATCCGCTTTGACTACTTTTGCGTGTGTAGTCAAGTTGCGTCTGCTAGGAGTGCAATAGTTAGACCGAATGGCAGAAATGAGTAGCATTCTATGATCCTCACCAGGTTCTGCTTGATCGAAAGCAAAAGTATTCTGACCGACGCGAAAGAGTGGAGCAAGCACACACGTATTGCACATGTTACACTTTATACACAAGAAATGGTGCTCCGAATCAAGGGTCAGGGCAGGTAATCACACATTTAGCAAGTGCGCAAATCCCTTTTCGACATTAGAAGATTGTTCTACGGCAATGTAGCTCTCTTTATAATTTGTCGCTTGTGAAGCTAAACTGTGATGGGATACTGAAGTGTATTCACCAGTCTGTAGCTGTAGCTTGAAGCACAAGCAATGGATTACAATACTGCAACCAACCTAGAACGGGAATATCGGTGTGAAAAGACAAGTCTGTAGTCGCTAATGCGCTCGGACATCGTCTGTTCCGCATGCTCAACGTCATCCTCATGGATATGAACTCGGAGGACGGATGCAGGACAGTCAGCATCTGTCTGATACACGTGGCTGCCAATTTGGCCTCAGAATATGTATGTCAAGTAGTAGCGATGCATCGCGCTGTCACCGCTTTCGCTGTACCACTGACGGGAATGTCGTCTGCAAAACTAAAGATTGGTGGTGGTTCATCAACTGCTGTATGTATTGTTGTGGCAGCTGCTCCACCAAAAGTCACCACGCCTCCGTCTCAATTCATGACCAGACTGCAGTACAAATTTGACGGCTATCAGATCTTGAGTGCACGAAGGTGGATGCAGACCCGATAATTTGGCCGACCGGGGTTGCTTCGACATCTCCCGATTGAAATGGCCTCTATAATTATCATGAACCCACTCACGAAGCGCTACAGTTGTGTGCATCTTTATCAACACCTCAACGTCCTCCGGATGTGACGTCGTACTAGTAATGGTCATGTCCTCACACCTTGAGTACATCGAGTACAGTGGTAAAAAGTAACACGCAATCCACATACGAACAGCATCTGCACCAGCCCTTGCAATACGGCTGCGTCTGATCGCAGAGGACTGTGCGTCATCGTCAATATCGATGCAAGGCTTGTCTCGTTTCTCTAGGCTTGGGTGTAGTCCGCACTCACCTGCTGACTTTTTTGCGAGCTGTCGGTGCGGCTAGCCGTAACGAAAGTTAGTCCCGACGGCAAGGTCTACGATCCAGTGAATCGGTTGTGAGAAAGACACGACAACTGTCGATGCGAAGACGCGATTGTGTCCACTAACTTGCTGATGTCCGGTCAAATTTTGTGCAAAGAGCTCCTCGAATGTCTTGTTCTTGATCCCCTTGGATCAGGGTTGACTCGCGTTTTGCTGCAAGTGCCTGAGGCTCGACAGCACACATTGCCTTGGGCTGGTCAGTGCATTCTGGGAAACTTTGGTCCGTTTGACAGGGTATCCGCACGACACTTTCGGCAACCATTACTTAAGTTTCATACTACTCGAGCTTGCACGCAGGTGCTTAAACAGGCGAATGTCCTGGACGTGCATCGCCGACGGTGCATTACAAATGGGTGTGGACGACATACGGGTCTACTACTTTTTTTGCTTCTCTATAATCAAATTAGACCGTGATAGCAATGTTGCTGCGCATCTTAGCCGGTTAGTAACCAGCAAACATGGTCGAGCACACAACATGATAACTGCGACTTACCTGCCCTCTACAAATGCCTTGACAAGAGACACCATGTGCCTGGACAAGGTCTCCGTACCCATTACGAGATCTGAAGGTCTCTCTCCTTTGGTCTCTTGTCGACATCATCCTCGATGTCAGTCCTTCTGGTAGCAAAACGACACGTGGGATGATTCCAGAATTTACTGGGACATGCGTCGAAAGTATCGAGGATGTCGAAGTAAGCTGAGCATACATGCTTGATGCCGTGTCATAGCAAAGTGTCGACACCAATGCTACAGCACAGTCTGCCCTATCCTGACGACGCATCGATTCGTTGCCGAAGTCGTGATCAAAAGTGCAGCGGTCAGCTCTCTATCCTTTTCAATGGCGATTCGCGCACAAACATGCGGCTCGATGCTTAAACTTAGCACAAGTGCCCGTCACGTCCGTATCTGGCAAACAAGAAGCTTTACATCACGCAAAGCCCGAGGCGAATGCGTTGAAAATTAACCCATTGACGACTTCAAGTGAGCTAAATGATCCATCGAATCAGTCATGTCTCCATCGCTGTCAAGCGCATTGCGAAAGCTATGGACATTACATGTGCCTGATTGATTGCGTGCGCACAAAAATACTCAAGGGACCCGAGGAGGCGCCTATCGACATGCTGTCAGTCGATGAAAGTGACGGTGACATGCAATGTCGCTCATATCACACGACCAAATGATCAGTGCACAGGAAAGGAGGCCAACGCTCATCACGCGAGGTGAGATGTCAGCCACAATTTCCAGTGCTCGCCACATGTACAAGTACTATGCAACCGGTGAATACTTCGACTTAACGGCATTCTCGTGACAGCATCTGCACTGCTGTCGCAGAAAGAGTCTGATACGTTGACAGCAGGTCGAATGACTTACGCGATTCATCCGCAGCTGATTGGCGAAGTCCATACCACCTTCGATCGTGCCTTTGTTGTAGAAAACAAACGGCACGTTACAAGCTTCTCACCGCCTTGCATGGACGAAGCTTCACCTTTAACCATACAGAAGTAGGATAGCAGCTCATAAACGGGTCAACCGAATGAACATGTCTTACTGGATGCACTTTAAATAGGCATGAGCTCATGCGACTACCCTGCTGATCCGACGTTATTCACGTCAGGTCAGAGGATCGAGGCTAAGGAGTTCGGACTCTTCTTTAAGTCAGCCATGCTTCAGTTCATCATGTCAGATTCTGAAAAGAGAATAGTTTGGTAGAGCACTACAACGTTGTTGCACGCAGATCAGCCCCAAGCACCCAGTAAACAGTCGAAGATGCCGACAAGAAGGACGCTTGCCATTGTGCTTGAGTAGCTTCAGCTCTAAACAAACAGTCGTCACGTTCTCTGTCGATGTCGAGCATCAACTTTGTCGTTGTAAAATATTTCATTCACTACGACCGTCTGCGTGCTAAAGTAGAGAGAGTGCGACACGACGGGTCAGCACCATCGCCAGCATCGTTGGATTGAGCGTGAATCCAGACAAGTGAGCGGGGGAGGGGGACTTTGTCCAGTCGGTCTCTCGATCGCAACACCTCATTTTTACAAACGCACGTTGGCTAAGTAGCTACTAACTTTATAGAGCCGAAAGTGCAAAGCCGACGTAGCTTTGGTCTCCTCATTCGTGCTTTTGCCAAGACCAAGAGGCAGCAAAGCTCCTCTCTGTTTGCCAGTAGTACCAGTCAGAACCTGCCAAGTCGAAGAACCACAGCACATTCAGAGTGACGATGGTAAGTAAGAAAGCCCAGCTCACTGGTGTAGTGCTGGTTCTCGCAATCATCGGCGCCATTGTCGGTGTCGTAGTGGTAACTCGCCAAACCAGCAGCTCATCGACTGAGTCGTCGGGTACTGCAACTTCTGGCTCAGATGCTGGCGTTGTCGATGCCAGCTCGTCTAAAACGGGTTCTTCTAGTACGGGGAAAGTCTCCAAGAAGAAGTCGAAGACAAAGACCTCGGGCTCTAGTTCCGGCAGTCTCTCCATCACGTCGGACCCGGCTTCCGGTACGAAGGAAGTTCAATGTAACTGGTTGCACAATTGTGGAGAGCTCACTCAGACCTGCCTTGTCCACTTGCGTTGCAGCCGAGTACACGGTTACGGCATTTGCTATCGGGGACTGGGGCACGACTGTCTCACAAGACTCGTGCTGCACCCGTTCGTCCACTTTCAATGACTACGACGTCAATGCTGAGGACATCGTGGCCAGTGTCATGGACCAGCAAGCGAGTGCTGCATCGGCGCCACCAAAGTGCATCATCAGCCACGGGTTAGTTACTCATTCGTATAGAACTGATCGTTTGGGATTGAGGTTGGTAGTTGTAAACTGACGTTTTCAATTTCTGCTGTAGTGACAACTTTTACTGGACGGGTATTGACAGCGAAGGAAGTCGCGATTCGCGCTTCACGACTACTTTTGAACGCAAGTATGATGGATCTAACATTAAGAACGTACCGTGGGTCAACGTCCTCGGTAATCATGACTACGGTGGTGCGAGTTACATTTGCTCCGACGACAAAGGCCTTGCTAAGTGTTCGAGTGCGTCGGAACTAGTGAAGGCGCTGTCGAATAAGTTTACATTGCAAGCAGAGTACACGAGCCCGAACGACAACCGTTGGATCTTGAAAGACCACTTTTACGTCTACACTATTGAAGACAAAGCGTCGGGCGTCAGTATCGACATCTTCAATGTTGACGCTGGTGATGCCAGTACACACGGGGCGCAACAGACTTGCTGCCAGTGCTATGGCTACGCGGAAGGCAGCGACAAGAAGTGCAAGAACGTTGCCCGTGGCGACAAGTTGTGTGCAGGGGGTGACACCGAAATGTTTGACGCGTGTTTCGACAAGTTCACCGAGTGGAGTGACGACTCGCGCAAACAACTCGCCAAGGAAGTGGCGGCGTCTACTGCGACGTGGAAAATTGTCAATAGTCACTACTCCCCGTACGCTCATTACGACGAAACAGGCATGAAGAAGTGGTTTGAGATTCTTCAAGACTCGGGCGTCCAGCTCTGGATGAACGGCCACACACACGGTGAAAACCACGACTACTCCTCGTCACTGAAGCTTCACTTTGTGAACAACGGTGCAGGGGGTGGTATTCAAAAGGAATCGGCAAGTGGGGTGCCTGGATTTGCGAAAGGTTCCGTTGAAGCGTTGTGGGCTTATGGCGGCCAAGAGTATGGGTTCATGTCTGTAGAAGCTTCGGAAGAGTGGCTGAAGCTGCAATACCACACGGCCGATGACTCGTGGTCGTTTGCCGAGGACTTCAAGTCGACCAAGGCCGGCGGTGTGGCGACAAAGCATTGCTGGTACATTCCACTAGATGGTGATACTGGCAAGGAGTGCTAAGCTGGAAAATTGGATGCGAGACCACGGATGCTGCGGTATAGTTCGTTTAGGTCGATTGTTCATGGGTCGACAGGGGGCAGGCAGTAAGCAAGTGTGATTTGAACGCATTGCTGGTCAGTCTTTCATGTTCAAGAGTATTGGTACGAGTTATCAGGTGCAACCATTAGATGTTAATATGCATGACAGACAGACCTGCTCAGTGGATGAAAGTATCTGAATGACGTTGTTTTGGCATTGCAATGTCAAATGTTGAGCCACTATCAAACCTTACCAAGCACTTTCGTGTAAAATGAACAACAGAAGATTGTTGTGCTGATGACATTTAGAACATTGTGGATGAAAAGCGGCTCGTGCAGAGTCATTGGGTCTACCGTCACATTCGTGTCGCTGTCCAGAATGTTGTATGAATGAAGCGCTGAATTGGCGTAAGTGTACCACAGTCGCCAGGTTTTACTGGATATTTCGATATCAGCAAACTTTTGGCATCGACAAAAGTTTTCGGTTGAAATACTCCATAATTTCAAAAGTGGATGACATCTTGGCAATAAAGTACTCAAGGCAGGCCTCATCAGTTTGTAGACTCATACAAATATACAAATTAAGCAATTTTGTGGACGCCTTTGCCAGTAATTCGTGGGTCAGTCCATAAAACGCCTTTAGCTGCAGAAAAGTCCGTGTTACGTCCAAATGTGTATGAACTGCGCCAGCTTATCAGATTTGACTTTTGGCATCTGCCAAGGGCGAGTTGAGGTGGGAGAGCTTAGAAGAAGGTAACATGGAAAGTGAATTATCGTCTAGCTAGTTCCTTAGTTCGTCTCGTTGTACTACTCTAAGTCTATCATTATCGACTCTATAATATCAGTAACAAAACGATGAGTCGATCCCATCGTTACACACAATCACGCAGTGTCGTCCATGACATATGGTCATTAGTATCAGTAACCAATACAATTACTAACACAGACTCAGACCTGCTACATGATGGCCCGCTGCTTCACCTAAAGGATTACCTCCAGCGACAGGTGCGTGAGGGCGGTACGGAACTCGTACACCTCACACTTCAGGAGAGAGAAATTGTTGCAGGTTAACCGTAGGTGTCACCAACACTTATCGTGATACTGATCACGCCAGGTATTTGTTGGCTACCTATATTGTTGTAGTAGCCGATGATGATGCCAGGCCCATGGGAAGACGCAAGATTGTAAGAGAAATCAATGCATGTAAGTGGTAGTAATAAACACGTCTACATATTTCTCAGCTCACAACTATCATCACAGTACGCAAGCACTAGTACAACCAGCAGCGAAGAGTCGACTGCTAAGTTGGAAAACTACGGCGCGCACGAAGCTATCGAGCGGACGTTCGTAAACCAGAGAAATGTTTATAAGACCAAGCGGTGAAAGTTATGTTGATGGCATCTTCTCGCCAACGAGAAACCTCGCTTCTCAGTTTATAGACTCGTGACTCTTTCAGACTCCTGACGGAAATGGAGTGCTTCCGCTTCCATCTTCGTCATCAGAGCCTTCCGACACCTATGACCCCATACGCTCACATGGACATGATGCAACTCATTGAGTCTTTGCAACAAGAAGTTCGCGGGTTGAGAGCAAAATTTCAAGCGTCGAGTCAAACCGACTCCAATGTAACAATGCACACCGCCTCACCGGCGACACCTTCCGCAGCATTCGGCCAGTTGGTGCACCCCAGTTAAAATACTTCAAAGTCATAATGTTCACCGGAGAAGAGCAACGCTAAGGACTTGAAGCAGATAGGGGCTCGTTCGAGTACCAACTTATTGTGCAGATACATACGCTCGAGACCTTCGATATCGTAGTCTAGAATGAAGAACATCGACCCCAAGTATCATAGTTGACAACCAAAGCGCGATACGAACGATGAAAAATAAGATGGTTTCAGCTGCTGCAAAGCACATTGCTTTAGGGTCTCACTTCATCAAGGATGAAAATAGCAAAGGACGCGTGAGTGTACATTGGTGTGCCAGTAAGGGCCAGCTTGCTGACAATTAGACCAAGCCGCTTTCGCATCAAACATGCGAGAAGCTAAGACGTCAAGTTTAACTGAGGAAGCGCGAGTTACAGGGTGAGTAGATCATTATGGTCGGGGGGAATGTCGCAGGTTAACCGTAGCTGTCACCAACACTTATCGTGATACTGATCACGCCAGGTATTTGTTGGCTACCTATATTGTTGTAGTAGCCGATGATGATGCCAGGCCCATGGGAAGACGCAAGATTGTAAGAGAAATCAATGCATGTAAGTGGTAGTAATAAACACGTCTACATATTTCTCAGCTCACAACTATCATCACAGTACGCAAGCACTAGTACAACCAGCAGCGAAGAGTCGACTGCTAAGTTGGAAAACTCCGGCGCACACAAAGCTATCGAGCGGACGTTCGTTAATCAGATAAAAGAAATCAATTTCGACCAACGTCATCTTCGGGAAGATGGTCGCGAAGATGCCACAGAATGCGTGAAGTCTTTACAACGGAGGACACAGTTCCAGGCGTCATTGAACAGCGTGTTAACGTCGTGCTTGTCGATTACATTCCGCACTGCGTCGTCGTCGCTCAACACCTTTATCAGTTTTTGATGGTTCGCTTTGATCTCCTCAACTTGCTCAGGCTTGTACAACTTTCGAGGCGGTCGCGGTACGCTTTTAGAACGTTTTGAATAAACTTGGAGGGATGCAGGCTAACCAGCTGCTGAGATATGTCAGTCGGCGCGTCATGGTATAGGGGCAGGACGTTCTTATCCTGCTCGGCCATTATTCCCATGAGGCCCTCGACAGCATACAGGCGTCCATCGATATCTCCTTGATGACCTGATTCTGGTTGTTAGTGTTGGAGCGGGCTTAGAGATAGGAAGTAAATTGAGAACTAAATTTATTTGAGCTTATGTCTTCGGTTACCTATGCTTTCCGTTACCTTCACTGTCTGTTACCTTCAATGCCCGTTACCTTCAATCTCTCCTGCGTAGATTTCTTTAAATCACCTTGCCCATCCCAGTGGTTGCGTCGTTTCACCATCACTTATGTCCTGTCCCATCAACAGTCGCGCCCTGTCACATCATTAGTCGCACTGTTTCTACACTCCTTCACGTATGGACATGCTTAATCACTGAGCATCATCAGTCCACGTAGCTCGCTGAGTCGGGGTGCTGGGAGGGTCTTGGTCAGGATGTCCGCACGCATTTTCTTGGACTCGCAATACTGCACGGTCAGCAAATCTTTTTTTGCAAGATCTTTTACAAACTTGTATCGCACGTCGATGTGCTTCACTCGCCCAGATGTGTGTTCGCCCTTCATTTGAGCGATGGCAGCTTGGTTATCCACGTGTAAAGTCGTACATGACTGCATCTGCACGCCGATCTCCTTGAGCAATTCCACGATGCCTATCATCTCAGCTGATGTTTGCGAAGCCGCCACATATTTAACTTCCATCGTTGACAATGCAGCACATTTCTGTTTCTTGCACATCCAGCCTACAATCATGCCGCCCACCATGAACACACCACCGCTAACCGACTTCCGTTCACTCTTGTCTGCAGCGTAGTCGACATCGCTGAATGCCTCGACAACCACGCCGTCATCTTTCATTGAGTCCTTGTCTCCCTTCATCATGAAATCTATTTTCTTAGTGCCCTTGAGATATTTTACGATCTTCTTTGCTAGACGCCAATCGCCTTCACTCGGTGCGTGCGAGCGACGAGTCACCCGGTGCACCGCAAACACTATGTCGGGGCGTGTGCATCGAGATATCCATAACAAACTACCGACTAGCGACTGGAAAGTCTGCACAGTTGGTCTTTTTGGCGAACCTTTCCCATCAGAAGGTAGCAGCGCACCTTCTTCGTCTCCGTCGTCTCCGTCGTCTCCGCCGATTGGTACCCTGACCGCTGCCGACTCGACTAATCCGAACCTCTCGAGCATCTCGTCAATTACAGGTTCTTGGTTAAGTTTTCACCCATTATCGTTATCGTAACGAAACAATATACCAAGGAATTTGGACACCAACCCAAGATTTATAAGCTCAATTACTTGCATGTCATTAAAGAAATCTTTGACCTTCTGAGAACTGGTTGCGATCGCCAGCACATCATCCACGTAGATTCCAACGAGCGTTTGCCATCACTATCATCTTTAATGTATAGGCAACTGTCCGTATAGCACTGAAAGACACCCAGGGACATGAGTATGTCGTGGAGCATCAGGTTCCACAATCTTCCAGACTGCTAAGTCCATACAGACCTTTTTTTAGCTTCAGTGCAAGATGTCCCTTATCCTGCACTCCGAACTTGTCCAACAACTTGGCCTCAATATCCATACCTTATGGAATATGGAGAAGTATCTCTAAGCCTTCTTCTTTTTCGGCTTTGACATAAGCACTCGGCACATCGCCGTGTTGCACAGGTACCCCCCAGATTCTTGAAACTGCAAGAATCACTTTGCCAGAAACCATTTCCATAACGGCCGAGAAAGTTTAGGTATAATCTATACCATAAACTTGTTCATCTCCTCGCGCCACCAGCCTCGCCTTGTATCTTTCGATCGTGCCGTCAGCGTGCATCTTGAGCTTGTAATCCACTTACTATGAAGTAGCTTTGCTTTACGTGGCTTTAGTATCACTTTCCACGTATGATATGCTCCAATGCGTCAATCTCTGTGCGCATTGCCTCCTTCCAATGCTTGAATCGAGGGTCCTTCATCGCCTCGTGATAGTTCTTGTGGTCTTTAATCATGATAGCTTTCACACTATAGACCGGCACGTGCTTTGTACCCATGTTGCGTGTCTGCATCCGAGCTTGCGTCCGTCCACCTCTAGTAACTGCTCGACCTGACCTCCATCCTTTCATTCGGGATAGAGTTGTTACTTGACACCAAATATTCGTCTGCCTTCAAACCACTCTTCTTTAAATTTGCAGGCTTCTTCCGTTTCGGGGTTTTATCACGATCTTTCTCGGCGCGCCGCAGCATGAAATGTTTGTGTTCGATATGTTTTTGTAGCTGAGAGTTCTGTGCGCTATTTAGCGTTTCGGCGTTACAATATGCTGAATAGTGATCACTATTTTCTCCTTCGGCAAGTAGACTTTGAAGCCCTTAGTTTCATCATTCTTGCCAATAATCATTCCAACTTGAGCTCGTGACTTCCATGCTTTCTTCCCAGGATCCCTGAACGTTGAGCAAGAGCTCCCAAATGTTACAATGTCCGCCATGTTCAGAATTGTTCCAGTCAACATTTCTAGCGGCGATAGGCGCTTGGGGTTAGCGCTACGCGAGCTTCGATTCAAAACAAAAGGAAGCGTACTCACGGCATCCCCCCAAAAGAACAAAGGTAGCCCGCTCGCAAATAGCATGCATCTTGCCATGTTAAGTATCGTCCTGTGCATCCTTTCAGCCTTTACGTTCGATGCCTGATTTGAAGCCTCACTCACTTGGTGCATTAAACTAGCTGACTTGCAGAACATGTCGACATTGACATACTCCTTGCCACTGTCCGTTCGCAGCACATGAACTCGACAATAAAATCTCTTTTCGAAATTAAGCAGAAAATCATTGAAGTTCTTTGTCGCCTCAATCTTGTTTTTGGTCAGGAACACGCGGGCATAATTTGTTGAGTAGTCGACGAAAATGATTAGGTAACGATTATCTAGTGGTGTCATTGGTCCCTTGATATCACTGCCGATCACACCACCAAGCTTGTCAATAGGCGCGTTCTAGCCTGTATCCATCTTGGACTGGTTGTTTTTGCTCTGCTTGCCTTCTGCACAAGTAAGACAATTTGGCCTGGCTCGGTCTGTTAGGTGAATTTCCGATCCTTTAGATTCGGTCATGCGCTCGACAATATCGCACCCAAGATGACCAAGCCTCTGATGCAACTCCACAAGAGTTGTACTCACTACAGCTTCATCAATTCCATCGTAACCTTGTAGCAAGACTGAGTTGGCAACTTGAACTCGCGCTTCCTTCGTTTCCTCACCTATTACGTCGACCGTTAACACGTTATTGCGGCGGAACACCTCGAATATCTTCAGGCCATCCTCTTGACCTACCGCATAGCTCTGATTGCCGTCTCGCTCGAGAAACACACCACTCTCTTCCAATATACCATAGCTAATGATATTATCAGCGAGGTTCTCAGCATAATAAACCTTGCATAGGTCAACTATAACCTCCTTGCCATTGACAGCCGTCCTCAGCTCAGCTGTTCCCTTCTTAGTCACTCGAACCGCTGTGTCGTTCGCCGCGCGGCACGATTGATCAGAATCACTTGCATTCTTAAGCATTTTCACATCTTTTACAAGGTGCACGCTCGATCCGCTGTCCAATATTCACGAGTCAGAGTCAGCTTTGTGTCAGTCCCAATAGCTAACGCGACTCGAATTGAAGTCGCCTTTTATCACACTTCGTTGCTTGGGGCACTTGGATTTGATGTGACCAGTCTCACCGCATCCGTAACATGTACGTGTGTCGGTACTTGCAACTTTTGCTACATATCTTCCTCCACGCCCGACTTGATCTCTTCGAGCACTGTTAGGGTATTGAACTGCTTGCTCGCGAATTGTTCGTCCCGCTCGGCTGCTTCCTCCTTCGACCCTCGTCGGCCCCCATGCTGATTTCAAAGTCTATCGCAAGTGCAACAATCTCAGCGGCTTGCACTAGATAGTCCGTTCTCCGCGCATTCAGCCTTGTCAGCATCGCAGTTTAAATGTGCCCAGGCGCTGACTTGCAAAGACATTTTAAAACACTCTGCTCCGAGTTGCCAGATCGCTCCGCCACTTACACCAAGTACTGGTTATGATCAGGCCTTGCCTTGCTGTGCTCTTTTCCTCTCGTCATGAGATCAATTCCTTTCGTAGATGGTATCGGAGTCATGTCAGCATCATCATGCTGTTCATGACGTACTCTAGTGTGTTCGACACAGCACACCATACAGATAGCATCTTCTCGTAGTAGCTGAGAGCTGAACCTTCCAGCTTACCGATCAATGCAATAATCTTGAACTCTTTTAGCCAATTACCCCCGCTCATCATCTGTGCTGCGCCAAGCCGTTGCAGGAAGCGTATTCCCCATGCTTTAAAGTCGGCGCCCTCACCTGGATATGTCTCTTTACCCGTGAACTTAGCAAATCCATGCCAGTCCAGGTCTCTGGGTTTAGGTATCTTCAATCCATAATCATTTGGTGTCACGAAAGGGTGCGACGGTTCAGGTGACCGATACCGCTCGTCTTGCTAAGGCGGCTGATTCGGAGGCAAGAGCATTCGTTGCGGCGGCTGGTGAGGCGGCGGTATGCGTGCTTGATGCACCGGCTCATCGAGTGAGACCATCCTCATTCGCTGGTCACGCGCTTGGGTTAAGTCGGTAAACGCGCTTAAACCGTTGAATGGTTGCTCGTAGGGTGTTGTAGGCGCATCTTGATCATTTCGGCTCATCTGATCTTGCATCTTCAGCTGTTTTTCATTAACTGGGCTTGCTGCTGCGCCATCCCTGCGAGGGTTCACTCAAGTCTATTTATTCGCTCAGAGCTCGCATCAGAGACACAACTCGCGCTATCTTGGGCCTCGGGAGTGCCCGGGGCTGATGGCGTCTCTTCGCGCAGCACGAAAGGATCAGTGACCACGTTGAGAGTGGTTGGATCCGTTGTAGCGGCAAAGCGTGCCTGGGCGTGCTGTCTAACAGGTGATTTGTTCGCGCTTGGGCTCATAACCTTTTGGAGCGGGATTAGAGATAGGTAGTTAGTTGAGAACTAAATTTATTTGAGCTTATGTCTTCGGTTACCTATGCTTTCCGTTACCTTCACTGTCTGTTACCTTCAATGCCCGTTACCTTCAATCTCTCCTGCGTAGGTTTCTTTAAATCACCTTGCCCATCCCAATGGTTGCGTCGTTTCACCATCACTTATGTCCTGTCCCATCAACAGTCGCGCCCTGTCACATCATTAGTCGCACTGTTTCTACAGTTAGCCTCGAGACGATCACAGCACTCGCGAGCATCCTACCCTTGGTCACAGATGTGGCTCTCGATGCCCGCAACGTCGATCAGTATCGACCCGACGGACACGTTCTCGGCCTCTTCATCGTCGTCTCTCTCGTCCGGATCGACGTCCTCTATGCTGAACATGGTTGTGAGCGTGTTTATCAACGCATTGATGAACTTCTGCTGCTACGCGACCAGCAACGACCGTCTCTGCAGCTTAAATAACGTAACGTCGATCTCCTCGAAGACAGGCGCCACCGCGTGCGTGATGACCCACTACTTGGCCGATGACAGATTCTTCGGGTGCTGGGTCCTCCATTTGCGCGATGTTTGGCCGGCGATACAGCTTATAGAAGTTGAGGATGCGACCCAAGTTTTCCAGCGATTCGTCTTCTTCGGACACTTGACGTCCATCTTGATGATCAAGCTGTTCTGTGACCGTAGATGGTGGACAACGAGTAGACCTCCTTGGTATAGGCGCCGCCGTTAATGCTTTCATACGCCGACTTGACGATGATGTCGATCTGGTTCGGCACGCACCACACACACAGCACATTGAGCTTGGCGTAACGCGCGATGCGACTGACGACATCCGATTGGCGTCAATTCATTGTATTCTCACCATTCGACGACGCGTTGAGCAGCTAGACGCGCCAGTCTGGGTAGAGCGCGTCAAGAGTTAGACGAGCATGTTGTAGACGATCTTTGCCTTGTGGTGGCTAAATATTGATATACCTGCCAGGTGAATGTTGTTGAGGAGGCCCTCGTAGCATATCCGCACGCAATCATCGAAGAACAACTGCTCGCAGTAAGTGCTTGCGTCGAGCGCGACCACGAAGGTCCACACAGACACGCCGCCTACCATGTCCATGATATTCTATAGAGAGGATCCGACCAAGACGTGGGCGTGCTAGCCAACGATCATGACGTTCTTGCCGGTCAGTTTGGCCGTCTGGGTTTGGTCCTTAGCGTGCTGGCCGTCTGCCTGAACGACACGCTTATTGAAACGTGTTCCATCACAAGCTCGAACACATGACGTTCTAATGATGACCTGTGTAACGGGGTAAATCGTTACATAACAATTTATAAGAAATTGTTAATAGAATATAACTATAAGAGTTATATTCTCAGAATATTGTCATAAGGACAAATATTCTGCAGCACTTACGAGTAGTTCCTAATTGGTTGATATAGGCCATTATATCAACCAACGAAGACGCGCCACGACAGACGTACGCAATGAGTGGTGAGCAGATAACTGATTTACACATTTGCATTTAGACATAGTTAGATGAAGATAAATAGTGATTTATTGCAGACATTAACTACTATAAATACAGTTCTACTTTTTACTTAAAATAAGTACTCGCTTCTTCTTATCGTCTTCCTCTGCACGTACGAGTGTACGTGAAGTTACGAGGCACCGCCTTATTCCGTCATCAGAATAAGTAGCTTGTACTGTCACCAGTACAAGCTTCAGGGTGCCCCGTTACAACCTGGTACCAATCAGGATCTTTTTCATTATTGACGAACAACTTCAAGGCGCTGGTCTTTTTGCTAACCTGATTAGCGACATTCTCGAAGATCACGTTAAATTCGTCGTCGTCACTGTCGTTGTCACTGTCAACGTCGGTAAGCACCATCTCGTCAAGAAAAGAGCAGGTCGCCAATGATTGTGTCGGCGATTCGGGCGCTGATGTCTTAGGTCAGCGTGTCGTTTTTCAGCGTCACGTGGCTATGTAACGTATGCGCCGGCTTGATCTTTCTCGTAAAGTATCGTTTCTTGAAGGCGCTGGACATCTCTTAGTAGAGCGCCCGTGACTCAGCGTGCTGTGATGCCAGATATATCTGGAATTTGTGAGGGAAGGCAGGCGAGGTGAACATCTTGATGTTGCATGTCCGCTTGTGCTTGCTTATGTTCTGGACGATCTCCGCCTTGTCGTGGCACTCGCTCACGCAGAACAGTCACAGGCAGGCTGCGCTGCCGTTGGCATCCTTGTTCGTGACCTCAACTCCAAACTTTAGGACGTGACCAGGCTGTGATATAGCGTGGAATTTCCCATTGTTTACGTTTGGGCGGATGTGGGCCGTCTGGCAAGAGCCGCGGGTCGTCGGGAAGAGCTTGGCGTGCCGTGGGATTTTCTCGGCCGAATTCCTTTTTTGTAGGTTGTCCGAGACTTCAATTGTGAATATCGATCGCTATTTTTTTCAATTAGCGAATCCACAAAAAATTGAGGCTTGATTTAAGGTCACATCAAAAATGATACTGTTCTAGAGTTGCAATTGAGTCGAATCATCCAACCACGAGACCATGAAATTCGACCCGTCATAGACGCGCAATTTACAGTAGAGTGTGCCGCATTTTCGCGCGGAACGGGAAGAGAAAGAAATGCAATAATGGAAAATATTAGTGTTGACCCCTGTGTCTACTTATGTGCTACTGACCGCTTGTTCGGACGTGACAGACCTGCGATGCGCCATACATACACCGGATGACATCGTCCATCAGACGTATGAAGTCTGCAGATACGATTACCTCAAGAAGACGTGAGATTTATCTCTTTGTTGATGTCAGCAATGGTACGCGGACAACAGGTGTATTGTAACGGGGTGAATCGTTACATAACAATTTATAAGAAATTGTTAATAGAATATAACTATAAGAGTTATATTCTCAGAATATTGTCATAAGGACAATATTCTGTAGCACTTCCAAGTAGTTCCTAATTGGTTGATATAGGCCATTATATCAACCAACGAAGACGCGCCACGACAGACGCACGCAATGAGTGGTGAGCAGATAACTGATTTACACATTTGTATTTAGACATAGTTAGATGAAGATAAATAGTGATTTATTGCAGACATTAACTATTATAAATACAGTTCTACTTTTTACTCTAACCAAGTACTCGCTTCTTCTTACCGTCTTCCTCTGCACGTACGAGTGTACGTGAAGTTACGAGGCACCGCCTTATTCTGTTATCAGAATAAGTAGCTTGTACTGTCACCAGTACAAGCTTCAGGGTGCCCCGTTACACCTGGTAGCACTTCGTAGTCCGTCCAAGGACCGCGTTCACATCCAACATGAATATGTTGGATGATGAAGATGACCAAAGCTTTCACGCTACGCGTGACGGCTACTCCCATTTGAGCGATGTCGAATGGGATGCGGTTGAACGAATGGGTTCGACCATGGGCATCCATGCTGTTAGCGTCATGCTAGAGGCTCTCAATAGAGATGCCCAACATGCTACTATCGCCAAGTTCATTCAAAATGAACTTGACGCAGAACGCGAGAAAGTAGCCTTGCTTCACCAACAAGGTTCTCAACAAGCAGAGTTGTTGAGAGAACAAGGTGCTCAACAGTTTGAACTGTTGAGACAGCAGCAGGCTGCTGCTGGCGGGTCGATGCACTCGCGTCGGCCCGAGACTTTGAAGATTGACATCTCAAAGTATAGGGGGTCGAAGAAGACTCCCTCTTGAGATGGTTCGTCGAATTGGATGACGCCATAAGGGCGCGTCGCATCGACGACGGGGATATGCAAGTTGCATTTGCCCAGTCAAATCTGGCAGGACGTGCCAAGACTTGGGCACTGGGGCTCAAGCTGCACGACCCATACGCGTTTGGGTCGTTGGAAGTCTTCAAGTCGCGGCTCAGACAAACGTTTGAACCGCCTAGAGCTGAGTTCAGAGCTCGGACCGAACTCTTGAAGCTCAAGCAGGGTAAGCGTGATGTGCACGCTTACGCTCAACATATACGACATCTCACGAGTTGTATAAGTTCCAATCCGGTGGATGAACACACGTTGGTTTCGGTGTTCATGCAGGGTCTTGCGGATGGTCCCGTCAAGACTCACCTGTTCCGGCTTGAACTAGATTCACTAGAACAAGCCATTTCAATTGCGGAGCAGGAAGACTTCAGTCTGAGACAGGCTCGCGCCAGCTCGACATCATATCGTCAACCGAGACGATATGACAACGGAGGTCCAGAGCCGATGGAACTCTGTTATGTAGAGAGCGAGAAGGCTCGCTCTACAGGCTACAAGAAGTTGCAGAGATGCAACAGATGTCAAAAGACAGGACACTACGCTTACGAGTGTAGTGCCCCTCGTCCAGTGTCTCGCGACACTGGGCGTAGTGACCGTCCATCCATGAGAAAGGGGCAGGGACGAGGGTCCGCAGTTGGTGCAAAGACGCAACAACGGGATGGACCGTCAAAAAACGGACAGGATCAGTAGGTGCGGAGCACCCTACTGGTCTAGCAACGTCAAGAGAATTTGTAGGCCTCTTGATGAAGGTTGCTCCCAACACACAAACGTTGTGCGTTGCTGCTCTAGGTAATGAGGTCCCACTCATTACCTTGAAACTCGAAGTGACGAATAAGTTGTCCCTTCGAGCTCTAGTCGATTGTGGGGCGTCCAACAATTTTGTGCGACGCCAATCGCTAGAAGATGGTCACTTTAAGTTCAGTGAATGTGACACACCTCCTACGAGGATGACGGTACGTCTTGCGACAGGCGCATCCGTAACCGTCATGAAGCGTATAGTGAAGATCCACTATACGCTAGAAGATACCCAATATGACGATGACTTTATCGTATTGGATTTGGATGACAAATTTGATGTCATCCTTGGAATACCGTGGCTCAGAAGGTACGAACCACGAGTAAACTGGCAACATCGGACAGTAACGATGCCTGCCGCTTGTTCATCAGATGGCCATCTGATGAACGTTTTGGAGCGTCCACAAGCGTGTGGATGTACTACGAGTGAGTGCGATGGCCTCACTTGTGGTACGGTCGTTAGTACGACTGCACAAAACCTTAGTGTACCAAACGGTTACACTTCGGAGCAAGATTCCGGCGGCTGTGAGGAAACCCAGGCTGCGCCGAAGGTCCACCACTCGAATAAGTCGGGTGGACTGGGACAAAGATGTATCCCTAGCGGGGAACATCTAGAAGAGAAACAATCGATCGCTCAGGTTAAGCGAAACGATAATCCTAGATCGACTGGAGAGTCTTTCGTAGAGGATCTCGCTGTGGTTGCGCAACCCCAGCTAGAGGAAGTAAAGGGAATAAGTCCCAAGATTACAAATACGGCGGAAATAAGTTCCCCGAAACCCGCGGGAATAAGTCCCCGGG